TACGTAAACAAAATAGTCCATGACAAGGGGTATAAATTTTATACAAATCTGGTTTCTGTTTTGTGTTTTTTGCTCGATATCCACTGTTAACATTTTTCATCGTTAATTTTTTTCAATATAGCTATTAACAAACATTGATTTCATATGACATCTCGAACCAATTTTGCATCTGACAAATGTCGATATGTTTCATGCGCAATACCACAGCAATTTCTTACGAACAATTTTACAAAATAAATCACTTGATTCGACACAAAGACACCACAAATATATATATATTGAGTACATTTTGGGTTAGAGGGCAAATTTCAAGATTCCTGTAATGGCCGCGCCCACACTGGTGGCAGCGATGTTACTGAGAGTGTAACGAAGGTGTCACGCGCTGGGAAGGAGCTTGGTATTATGCCAAGCTCCTTCCCAGCGCGTGACACCTTCGTTACACTCTCAGTAACATCGCTGCCACCAGTGTGGGCGCGGCCATTACAGGAATCTTGAAATTTGCCCTCTAACCCAAAATGTACTCAATATATATATATTTGTGGTGTCTTTGTGTCGAATCAAGTGATTTATTTTGTAAAATTGTTCGTAAGAAATTGCTGTGGTATTGCGCATGAAACATATCGACATTTGTCAGATGCAAAATTGGTTCGAGATGTCATATGAAATCAATGTTTGTTAATAGCTATATTGAAAAAAATTAACGATGAAAAATGTTAACAGTGGATATCGAGCAAAAAACACAAAACAGAAACCAGATTTGTATAAAATTTATACCCCTTGTCATGGACTATTTTGTTTACGTAGATTTTTTCTATTTACCAATGTTGTGAACAAAATATATTACTACGCTGTCACGAATTCGTCTGCTATGGACGCCTTGAGTATTTTCTATTTTGGCAATAGTCATGACAAATTTAAACCAAAACAGCTAGAAGCATTAGAGAAAATTGCCAGTTTTTCAAAAGATAAAAGAGACCTTATTGTTAATTTACCTGTTGGCTATGGTAAAAGTATTTTGTACCATTTAGCACCGTACATACTTGCCGGTATTGTAATCGTTGTCAGTCCTCTGAACATTATCCAAAATGATCAGCTTCTTCATCTGCAGAAACTCAACATACCGGCTTGCCGAATTGACGTTGAGGGCAAGGTGACTGTCTATTGTGAATGTCTTTTGTGATAGATATTGGCTAAATGAACTAGCGATTGGTGAAGTAATTATTCTACGAAGAACCTGCCTCCGCCTCCGGTCCCGCCTCCGGTCCCGCCCACGGCCCCGCCCCCAACCCCCTACCAATATCTAATAAAATCAATTTAACAAAAATACAACGAAGTAACCATCGGATTTAATTGGTTAAAAAAAGTTCTAATAAGTGATGTTGAGGTTAAAAAACCTGTACATTTCCCATTGTCTGGTTAAAATATATTGACAAACTGTAAGTCCACATACTTCTGAAGTATTCAATACGTTTGATGAAACATGTAAATTATCATTAAAAATATTATGAAGCTAGGCAAGCGGTGTTGTGACTTTGGAATTTGATAATACAGAAAGTGTAAGGTTGCATGAATTAGTATTTATAATGTTTTATCTGTAGTGGTGATATATATCAAGACAGCAAATTTTATGTTGGTATATTTAAAAAAATTATGTCATAAGTATAATGGGGTGAGTTTTCCCATTACAGTCATTTATTGTAGAAAACGTCTGTTAAGAGTGTTTTAGGTTGTGTTTTTTATTACAAGTGGCTTACTGTGTAATTTTGTCTGTTTGAAGTGACATGACAGTATGATATTATGACAGCATGATGTACATGCACAACCTACAATATTTCAATATCCTAACCTTGATCTCCAAACCATAAAAACTCACATGCCCAAAATACATATATTCATTTTACTTCTATTTGTAAATGTTTGTGTCCATTTGTCTTCTTATGAATCATATTTTTTTTCTCACTTTTCTGTTTTTTTATTTCTTCCTTTTGATGTTTTTGCAGAGAAACTAGCTTATTACAATGCCTAACATGAGATATTGTAACCGAAAATTATAACAATCTTGCTTAAGTTAATCTATAGAAATATTTCCAGGTGTACACTGTTGATGGAGACAGCTGTATGGCTGATGTCTTGACATCAAAGTTTAACATCATCATGTGTCATCCAGAGGGACTGTTAAACGTGATGAATGAGTTGAGAGACACTGAATTCTGTTCGAAAGAAATCAAGGCAGTCTTCATTGATGAGTGTCATATTGTTGAAGAATGGTAAGAAACAATGATTTGTTTGATTAAATATTTATCAACTCTAAGTAATAGCAAGATAACCAAACAACATGTTAATGTCAAAATATAATATGCATAATAATGTACTTTAAACACATTTATTCTCATTGTAATGAAGTTACAATTAAAATACTCATAAAGTAATAAGAGTCTGTCCTAGTACATGAACCCTAATTTTACCTGCTTTATTAATTTGACTTTCGAGTGTGTGTTCTCTGTCTTTTGCCATAAAGGGACAGCATAAAAAGTTAACATAATTAATCTTCTAATACAGGGGTAAAGAATTCAGGAAAGGATATCATTCCCTGAAGAATTTGCCAGCCGTATTCACCAATGCCATGTTCATTGGTTTGAGTGGAACTTTGACTGTTCTACAACTGGCAAGACTTCCTTCAGTTCTTGGAATGGTTGATCCTGCAATAATCCAGGATGTGCCGGATCGCCCAAACATCTACTTATCCAAAATATGCAAGGATAGTATTTATGAGTGTGGAGATGTTGTTGGAGTATTTGAAAACATTTATGTACCAGAAATTGACAAATTGTATGCCAATCCTGATCTGTACCCAGTTACCCTCATGTTTCTGCCTATGAAATACATGAGTGAAGCAGTTCGCTACATAACCCAAATGTTTGGTAAACAAACAATTCATGCATCCAGGTATTCATGTTTATATTCTACTCAAGACAAGGAAATTACTGATGTAACATTAGAAGAATTAAAGAAACCAGACCCCAGAATTAGACTAATATTAGCAACATCTAGTGCTGGTATGGGTTTTGACCCTGTGAACATAACAAGAGTCATTCACTGTTGCCCGCCCAGATGCATTTCCAGATATCTTCAGGAAATCGGCAGAGCTGGGCGGAGAAATCAGCAAGCAGAAGCCCTTTTGTATTTTGATAACAATGACATCAAAGCCAATCTGCCAGGCATACAACTGGATATCATAGAATACTGCAAAACAACATCATGTATGAGAACCCTTTTGTTGAATGTGTTTGGATTTGAAAAAAATGACAAAAGTCCAAAAGGATGTATGTGCTGCGTTAATTGTCGCTTCTGTTGTAAATGTAGCTCATGCTGTAAATAATCTGAAGAAAACTGATGTGCTCAACATTTCTGCAACTCTCAAATATAGTTACACACCATTATTATTGCAATGTGATATATCTTTGACCTCCTAAATAATAATAATATAGCCATGTTAATATATGTATGGCTGAAAAAGAACCAAGCAAACACAAAGATATTGGATCAATGTGGGTCCAGTGTTGGAAGATAGCGTTGTACTCCTCCGGACTGATGCCGATTTATAGTGATAGCTCACTGAGATACCATGCCGCAGTTTAACATGAATACCCCACTCAGACACAGTATACTGACTCCGAGCCGACCAGTCCTTGTTTTAGCCCCTTAATGCCGAGCGCCAGACAGGGTAACAACAAGTACCATCTTTTAACGTTTAACTCATGCTGCTTAACTCATTGTGCTTTAATATTTGCTAACACCAAGTTCGTGTTTTATTTAGTTATTGTAGAATGGAGATAAACATACTGTATTTTAAATGTCGAGATGCGCATTGGGTTCCACTTCAATTTAGCGCCATAATTTACAGGTAACCTAGCTCTACATTGAAAACATAGTATGTCTCCTAAATATAGAGTACATTTTAACATTAATAATTCCTCACTACCAAGAGATATGTACAATTTGTACACTGAAATCACAGCTTAAAATTTTTCCAATTATTTCTGTGAAATATTGACATATTCTTGAAGATGACAACTTTATGATATAAAATGTGATATTGATATTTGCAGTTATCCTCTAGTTCCAAGAAAGCCTTTCCATTAAGGCTCAGATGAATAAAATAGTATTCACTTCTTCTATTGGTTGTTCACTGCTGTTAGGCCATAGGTTTTGTTACATGTCTTTCATTGTTACATACAAACATATTTATGACTTATAATTAATTCTTTATACATTTCAAGTGACTTGTCTGGTGCAATTGCATTTTTTACAGGCTAAGTTATACATTAGATCATTATTTTTAGAAGCCATTAATAGGATAAATTTATGAAGATATTTCCAATGCTTGAAATGGGTGTACTTTTTTTAAATAGAAAACAACCTACTACATACAAGCAAAAAGTGAAATTCATCTTCTGTTTTCGACTGACAACTTTTGACAAGGACTGGTAAGATTTTCAAGTTGTCAGTCCTGTGGTCTGGGGGAAATTTAATAGAAGTCTGCAACACTGTTAACACTTTCTTAAATATACCTTTGACACCTAGTTTTGGCAAACGTTTTCAAACTTTTCCTCTATCTACATAGGTGAAAGTTACACATAACTATCATCAGCCATCAGTATAACATTTTTGTCACACTAAATACACAGGTGAAAGTCACTCATCACTATCATCCAGGATTAGTATAACCAGCGTTAGAAATTGGCACTAGTCCTGTAGTCCTTGCCAAACTGCCCAATACTTAAGGTATCATCACTGAGGTATCATTAGGACGGTTAGAAAAATTCCATTTTTAAGGATTTTGCTATATCGTTATCATTATAAGGACTAGTGGACTAAACATGTTTGTTTCTACCACTGATAACATTTTTGTCACACTAAATACACAGTATAATATTTTGAGAATAACTATGTAGTAGCACCTTGTTGTCAGGGTAGTAAACACAACAAACGGCTACAGGTGTGAGCTGATGGATGTTTATTTTCTCAGAAGAGAGAGGGGAATAAATATGCTGTGAAACAATGTATAAATAATAAGACATACTGCACAAAAGACATAGAACAATGACATTGTTATAATATACAGAATGGCCTTAAATCTAATGGACATTCAATTATATAACTTAAAATAGCGAGAAATAGCGAGAAACCTATGTTACTCATGTAGTAAGTAACCTGCAGAAAGATACAGTAATATATACTCAACAACAAAAGTTCCTGTGACACCAATATTTTAGTGTATTTTTCAAACAAGTAAAGTTTGGTTTTCAATATTGTAGTACATATATGGAATCAAGTCACAAAACCGCAACTGCTACAGAAAAGCATGCATTTCATGCAAAAGTTGACTTTTATGCAATCCCCACGGACGGATTCGCGTATACCGACGTCGAGGTGAACGTTACATTAATCATTGTGTCATGGAAGAAGATCGTTTCGAGGGCGGCATGAGGTATGAGAATTACTGCATGAGGTATGAGAATTACTATGAGTTTATTTAGGGTTTAGTTTTACTTAGTTAATGTTCAGGTTAAGATGATAATAGCCTAGAAAAAAATAACTATTTATCAATTAAAGAAACTTCTTTACAATCATGATAATACTTTATCATATAAAATAATCATAACCAGATACACTGAACTGTGAATTCAATACACAACCTGACTAGCAATAAACCTAGCACAACCTATTTCTAACTGTAAGATTTAGAAATACACAAATACATATAAAGCATCACAGAAGAAATACACTACAACTAACCTTCAAATCCATGAAATTAACACGTCCATTGGCTCCATGAATTAAATTCTGAATGTTTTGTTTGTTTGTTGTTTAACGCCGCACTCAGCAATATTCCAGCTATATGACGATGGTCTGTAAAGTAATCGAGTCTGGACCATACAATCCAGTGATTGACATCATGAGCATTGATCCACACAATTGGGATCGATGACATGGATCAATCAAGTCAGCGAGCCTGACCACCCGATCCCGTTAGTCGCCTTATACGACAAGCATAGTCGCCTTTAATAAAACTATGGCTAAAATAGAATTATAACATAAGTTGTATATACAAAATATCACTCTGCCACAACTACACAGGTGGAAGTTCATCATCACTATCGCCATCATCAGCAGCAGCAACCGAATCACTGGTATCATCAGACTGATTACATCTGTCATCCATGTCAATATGATCACCTTTCATCAATCTGAACACAATATCTTGGACTCTGATGAAAAGACTAGATTTTGTGAACTTTCTGAAAGGGGATGATACAATGCCCTTAAACCCATGACACTTTCTTCCTGCACAATGATGAAATGGCCTCAATTCATTAAGTGATTTTTGAATTGACTCTATCTGAGAAATACAAATCCTTTTGGAATGTCTGGTTGACTGTCGTTTGACTCCAAGAGATATCCTCAGGTTGTCACAAACTTTGAATATTGCACTTGCTGCACCTGTTGCTGTTATCATGGCGTTTTTGGTCTTGTTGGCACCAAGTTGTTTGATGAGCGCCTTCTGATTCTTTATGCTGTGTTCCTGCACTAGGTCAGCCTCAACACAATTTGAAATTCCTCCCTTGGTGTTAATGAAAGCTGTGTCAAGGACAAGTTCTTTCATCATTGGAGAGAGCAAGTAGCAGACTTTAATGAGAAAGTCAATATTCTCCACAAAATATTTACTCTGTGAAGAATGGGCAAAAAAGAATGGAATGTTCATCTTGGCATTATGGATAAGTCTATCACTGTCTCCCTCTTTGGCTGTGTCATCAAGCTCCATTAAATGGAGAGCCCAGTGGAATAGTTGCTGGCAATAACTGTAGACTTCATCAGGTTCAAACTGAGACTTTTCTTCCACCACTGTACCATCAGCATTTACATGAAAAATCAAATACATTCTTTCACAAGAATCCTTGAACGTTAAATCAAGGTATCCATAGTGGACAAGGAAAGCTCTTAAAACTGCCTCTGACGCTGTGGTTTTCTCTTCCAAAGACAGGTTGAAAACATCAACAGGAATATTCTTCAAAGCTGTGTTGTTGTCATCAGTGATTACCAAAGTATTCACGTGCCTGTTCCACAATAACAGCTTTTCCAACATGAACAAGTAGGTCATGATGAGACTGAAAATTCCTCTTAACATTTCCATTGACATTTGTCATGTTAAACTTGGCTTTGTAGAAGTATAGTGTCCCTGGCTGTCTAATTGACCTTGGGCTGAACAAAGCCTTGTATGCCTTCTGTGAAAAAAAATATACAGTGTCAGTGTATTATATAAACATAGTGTGATGGCACTGTTACATAACTCACGAGCAGTCAAAAGTTTTAACACTTGACTTTCCGTATTAGAATCCTGACATTGATGTGAAATACAAGTTGTTACTAGTATATCATAAGGAAATATATTTTTTCTTTGCCCTCATAAGATGTTTCTGTTGGCTATCTAAATATTTTCGTTTTCATAAATACGTATAAATGAAATACAAAGGCACATGACATGAAATTGTGACAATATTGATAATTTGATTGGTATAATGTGAACAAATGATGTTGCAAGGTCGAGTCCAGTCAAGTAAAGATGAAATACCTCCAAAAAGTCCTGCTTGTTGTGCCACCATTCAATAACAAATGGTCCAAGATCATCAAATCTTTTGGCAGGTGTAGGAGAAAGTGCTCTGAGACTCTTGGCACCCTCAAGCCTTACCCTGGTGAGCTGATCCCCACCGACTGGAACATGAAGTTCCCTTAGCGCTGATTGGTCACCTGTAAAACGAGAAAATAATTTGAATATAATATTTATTAGTTAGATAATCATTTCAAATTGTTATTGTTTCTAAAAGTAGATTCATCTAATTCCACAATGATAACCTGTTGTGACTACTGTTATGATACTACACAAATCCCATGAAGATCCATGGTAGAATAGGTCTTCAGCCACACGATTATTTACAGACCACCATCATATAGCTGAAATATTGCTGAGTGCGATGTTAAACAAAAAACAAACAAAAAAACACATACAAATTTTAACAAACAAATATGTGCAACTTTTAATTAAATAAATCTATTTTTAATATCCATTAATTAGTGTCATAACACTCATATCAGATTACATTTACGTTGGGTACTGATGCATTCAATTGAAAACTACTCTAAAGTGCAATAAAGTGTTTCAGGAAAAGATGATTTTATTTACAATTAAGAGCAATATGAAACATGTAAATGAAGTTGTAATCATCACCATGTGCACTTGTAAAGAGTTCTGTCAACTGATCCTCATAGCTATCAAGAATCTTCACACATTCTTCATACTTGGCTTCATTGCTGAATAACAGTGGCATGGGATGTACCTCTGTCTTCATGGATGCTGTTTTACTGTGGCTGTGTGGAATGTGTGTTGGGATGTTGAGCCATGATAGTGCTGGAATATCCTGAAATAATGGATTGAAACACAATGAATAACAGCTAACAGATGAAACAGATAACAGTTACAGCTGGCATGAAATCAATAACAATTTCTCTCACATCAAAGCATTTGAATTCAAACCCTTACAAAATATGTCAAACCTAAACAACTTCCTAATCCACAGCTAAACAAAAGGATCTATAAAACTTTATGTTTCATTCATTTAGATATTAGTAAATCTGATCTGAGCATGCCAGATATTAATAACATATATTATATGATTCTTAACCTTCAGTATTCTGCCAATGAGAACAATATAAGCTGAGGATAACTTGTTCAAAGTGTCTTCATTCGGGAGGACATCAGATGCGTTGATGCATGTAGAGGATAGAGGTGGTGGTGAAGTGCTCAAGTTAATGTCAGCAAACTTGGAGAAAATGATGTTTGATGCAAACATGTGAAGATCCTTGTTGTCATTTTTAGTTGATCCTACTTTAGATGACCTGATATAGACATCCAAATTGTCTCCAGTGATCTATAAGAAATGAATCATATCACATTCATCATGTTCAAATACTGCATTAATTCAGTCATACAACATTAAAATGATAACTAATGGAACACATAGAAGACATATTTCAATGTAACAGTGCTCAATAATAAATTAACTTGTTGTGTTCTTTGCATTGAGTAATTACCTTGATCAATGGATTACATTGTAATGATCGAACAATGTTAAGCTTTGTTTGAGTCACTGCCTGGGCCATCATTCGGAGTTTGGTAGTTGGGGATTGGCACAATCCAATGTTGCTCAGTAGTACCATACTCTGTAAATAACGTCATAGAATGTGCACCGGAAAGCCTGGATTAGACATACAATGACTGAAAAAGAAGCATAGTCATATTTCAATTTAACACAGAAATTTAATTTATCAACATAATTAAAATGGGACAGTATAAAAATTTATAAAAATGGGGGGACATAATTTCTTAATCAATTTTAGCATTAAACATCAGACAAAATACAGGTTCTGATGGGCTAACACATATATTTAAAATGTTTATTTTTTTTAAAACAATATTGTTTCCAAATAGACATGTGTCCATGACCATTGTAAACTGGTAATGTGTATATGCCATGTACATATATATATATATTAATTACAACTCTATCCTCAAAATCATTACTATCAATAACAAATGCTTTATAGTACTGTACCTGATCTTCTAAATGTCCTCTTATGAGAATGCATCCCACCATCTTATGCCATGCTGTTAGATGGATGTTTCGCATACGCATCAGTATGGAGTATGATGACGTTATTGCAGCCACTTTATTGAGTGGAATTTCACCATCCATACATCCAGTTACAGTGGACATTACAGCCAACAAGAATGGTGCCCTAGTAAAACAGTATGAAACTAGCAAATTATGAACTATATTTTGATGCCTTCCATGTTCTCAGAATAAGGGCTGTTTCTTCAGTACAATAAAAGCAGGATTACTTAGCAAATGAACAACACAGTGATCTTGCCATATATTTTTGGTAAACATAGTCAAAGGTACATAATTCATTCTAGAGGGAGTTTAGTGTAACCAAATAAGCTCCTCTTCACATAACACTGTTATCACCTGACATGCATAAGTATTCAAATAAAATAACCACTACATATAAAAGACTGCAAGAAAGACATTATAACCCATTAAATAGAGGTTACTTGTTCTTTCACTTTCAGGTAAGCTAAAAAATGATGAAGAAAAGGCAAATTAGTGTAGCTGACAAGGTAAAAACATCTCACCATAAAAAGAATCATGTCATTTCAGTTTATGTGAGCTAAAAGTTGAGGGATTCAACCAATGTTTTGGTAACTTTTGTACTCAAACTTATATTAAAACTAGTATTATATTACTCATATAACAATCATGATAAAAGTTTTATTACAATTAAAACATGACATTTTTCCCCAAATATTACCTCATATTGTAAATTCACTCATCAAATTAGATTACCTTTCTTTCATCTCCTGAAATACCTGACCTATATAACAATCATGATAAAAGTTTTATTACAATTAAAACATGACATTTTTCCCCAAATATTACCTCATATTGTAAATTCACTCATCAAATTAGATTACCTTTCTTTCATCTCCTGAAATACCTGACCTATAAAGTCATGGCTATCTGTAAGATTCTGCAGACTTGATTGCTCCCTGAGAACCGATGGAGATGATAATGATGATAGCTCCTGACAGTCTGACTGTAGCTGCTGTATCACTCTCTCGTTTATTTTATTTCTTGAACTGGGGTGGGACAAAAGTAAGGTCACAACTTGCTCCAAGTCCTCAGATGCAACTGCTTGCATTAGTCCATGTAAATATGTCTGCTGTGGCTGTTTCCCAACTTCAGCAAATGACTCTAAACAGCGAAAAATACTGGTACCATTGTTGTATTTTTTCCATATATCAGAATCCATTACTCATCTGATAGAAATACTAAAAATATATATATATATTTCAGTTTACGCTTTTGATAAATGTAGATGGCTTCTGTAGTTATTTAAATTAAAGAAGACATTAACTTTCTCCTATCAAATAACATTTTTATCTCTTCAAAACATAAAAGTAGAATTGGTCCTATTAGATACTTAATTTCATGTATGTACCATGAGTTGAAAATGTAGATGGTAGCTTTTGTTTTGGTGGCAAATCCAAACAATAGTTGTGTTCACCAACTGCAGCCTTTGGTTTTTCATCGGGTCCTGTCCCTAAATGTTCAGAAATAGACAACAATATCAGATAAGCAATCATCAGGACAAGCATGAGTACAATAGGTGCAAAGGAAATATTGTATTACGCATAAATCATATGTGAAACACATTTTTCCAATAATTTATTAATATAGCTTATTTCATTTCAACACATTTACAAACATTATTATTTACTCAAAGTATTTTCTATTACTCTAATAGTATTATGTGTAATATACCACAGGCCATTTACCATTAGAACAGATTTTGGTACACGGTGAGGCTGCATAAATGTGTTCAGCTTCTTTTTGCACAGAAAAAGATGATGCTATATTCAAAAATAAGAAAATACATATTAGGCCAATGAAAATTTATGTATTTTAAAGATATGACAAAGGAAAACTAATTCTTAAATAATCTACAGCTAAATCACATTACTTCCTTATACAACCAAAGTTCCTTTCAAATTTCATATTTACAGTAGAATACAGTACAAATGTAGTATCAGTATCTCTAACTCTGTATGTATCTATCATCTGTGAAAAAAGGGAGAAATAGGCCATACCATCTGATTCTTCATTATGGGAAGCAGGTGAACTTCTCTTGTTTTCAGTGTAACTTGTGGCATTCTTTTTGCACGTGGAAAGGTCAATGTTTAACTCTGTGAATGTAAATGGTACTGCCAATCATTTAAATGTAGGAGCTGACACTGCCTAGTTACAAATTGTCTGGTAATACACAATTCTGGTAAAACATCATCAATCACGACACACATATATTTTTTCAATATAAAGGGCCCAATGACCAAAACTACAAATATTGGTATTACATAACTATTAATCCAGTGTTAGGTCATTTTAACTGCACCAATGTAACATAACTAGTAATTATTTTTTATACAGAGTACAAATATGTACATTATGAAAAACAGATGCATCTATGTACCTAGCTTCCTTCAATGTACACTTTGAGAAGAGCTGACATAACTTACTTAAGAAGTTTCTTATATTAAAACATATCGATCATTATTTAAGGAAAGGTGTCCCTTTAACATAAAAATTTAAACACAAAAAATAACATTTTTATTTTGCACTAAAGTTATTTTTGTTGTTGGAAAACATACAACATTAATAATAATAAGGATATTAACACAAGAATATATTATTACATCACAAAGTAAGAATACACACAGTGAATAAGTATTCTCGATGTGTTTGCCTTTGACCGGAATCGAACCGAGTCTAAAGATTACTCTTTCAGACTACCATTCAAAAGCTTCATTACATCTAATTTCAATGTGAAAATATGTACACTTTGTTATTATGCAAATCAAAGGGTTAACCCATCATCAGCGTCAGAAACTGACACAAGTCCTTCAGTCCTTGCCAAACTGCCCAATTGTTAAGGTATCATAACGACTAGTAGAAATTTGCCATTTATAAATGTTAATAAACTTGCAGAAATAGTATATCATATGTGTGAACATTCCACACTTTCTAAAAACATAAATGTATGAAAATATAAAAGGGCACTCACTGTAAATGACGATGAAAGCAATACCAGTCGGTCTTGCTTCAGCCATCAGAGGATGTTGAGCTCCAGCAATGCAATAATATGTTTTGCAAATATTTTAGCTTCTACCTCATGCTTAGTTAAAATTCTTTGCAACAGATGAATCACAATTCCAAATGTGTGCTTGAGGTTTCAAAGTTGATTTATCAAATGAGACATATGCAATAAAGCAAGAAAATCTATTTAAGGGTCCCAAAAGATCTCCTAACAGCACTTAGTTTAACCATGAATAAAATAAATAAATATTATTATTATCATTATTACGTATTATGTCTAATAAACAGACTAGTCTACTCATTTCCGGTTAGAATGATAGTGACAACAAACAGCAGTAAACAACTCAAGATAAGGAACATCGGATGGGCTGTTGAGAAGGAGGTTAGGGGCATGAAAAAAAGTTTCATATTTTCTCATGTACGGGAACGCTCACCTGAAATATCCTCAACCTCGCATGCAATTGATTGCCGCTTGCTGTCAGGTGTGGAACAATCCGTCAATAGTGAATGCCTTTTGATTTTGTTATCTCTGCAAATATATTTCTTCACGCTGGTTTGCAATCCATCCTTAAATTTCATAAAGTTATTTATTTTTATGAAACAGTTTCTACACAAACCAGCTTCGTGGTGATGCAGCAAAGAAACTGTCTCGGCATCCAACAGAAAACACAGTTTTGCAAGAATATTATCCTCGACACACTTCCTGCCAGACAATTTAAAAGAAATGGAATTACCTGATGACAAACAAACAAAACAATTAATAGGGTATAATTTCGTCTGCTCTATCACGGCCATTCGCGTAAACATAAGGTCACCTGTCTGTAGTTCGATAGGTCACGATTAGGCCCTAGCTCCATGCATGGCTGTAGTCGCCTTACACAGTGTGAAGTTTTGACTGGTGGCAGCGATAGTATAGAGAGCTCCGGGAACGTACTATCGCTGTGAGGAGCATGGCATAATACATGTAAGGGGAGACCACTCTGCAATAGAGGAGTCTTACAAGGGCCCTCATTTCTAGACATTACACGATCACCCGTCTCACAGCTAGGAGACCTTAACACATCTCGGCGACAGCGCGTTTTCTGCTGTTGTCCATACTCTCTGGAACTACCAGAGTACTTAAAATATATCATTAGTTCTGTAACCTTCCGTAAACGGCTGAAAATCTAGATGTTCCTAGAAATCAACTTCCCGTAGACAACTGCATGGACGCATCAAGTAGAAAACCGGTCCAACGACCACCAGTACTGCAACACTGCTATTGTGCTAGCTCACTGAGCTACCATGTCGTACCTTAAAATAGATACCCTACTCAGACAGTATACTGACTCCGAGTCGCCTAGTGCTTGGTCTATCCCGTAATGCCGAGCATCAGGCAGGATAACAAGTACCATTTTTTACCATTTAACGTCTTTTTGGGTATGACGTGACTAGGGGATCGAACCATCCACTTTCTTCACCCTGGATAGACGCTCTATATCCACTAGACCACGCAGGTGGTCAAAACATCAAAATACATATACTCGGGCAATGTTACGTTTTTTTTATTTGAATAGATTGAGTATACCGATCGGTACGGAGGCGGATCCAGGATTTTGAAAAAGTGGGGGTGCACATAACACCCAGGTGCATACATAATATACCCTAGGGTAGGGTCTGAAAAAATGGGGCGCCATCATGCATTGCAGCCATGACAACAGAATTGTACACAGGTGCATTCTCCTGACGGACATGTGCATACGCCTTGACACTCTGACGTAGTTGCATGATAGCGGCCTTTAACGGTATGACCTTTCAGGAGGTAGTCCACTTTGAGCATTTGTGTTTTTGTAATATCAGAAGCGCCAGCTGATGGAACAGACTTTGCTTCCTTTTTCGGATGAGACGTTAGATGTTTCCACTTCTTTTGACTGTTGTTTTGCCTCTGGCTGATAGTCGTGAACTCAGGACCGATCCATATAGTACAATTAAATCGCTCAACAAAATTAGCTGGGTCTGCTTCAAAATAACGTAAATTTTCATGAGAAATGAGAAATCTGGAGCCTTTCTGATTGTTTTCTTCAACAGAAAATATCTAAAGTCACTTTAATGTCTGCCGAAGTATGCTGCCTGGTGGTGTATTTGGCACAACTGCAGGCTGTAAGCATGGAATTTATTGAACTTAATATACATGCATGCCTAGTGTAAGAATGTATATACTATGTAACTATATATACATCCTTCGTAGTTAGGCGCGGAACTATTCAGCCACCCCAATAGGTTTATCAAACGTTCCGCAATGGAGATGACGAAGCTTTTCTTTTCCACAAAATGTTTAGAAGGCGGTTAATCCTGGCTGGTGGTTTCAAATGGAAGCTGACTGATCGGATCAATACCTTGTATCTTGCTCAAATTCATCCAAGATTCTTCAACAGAAACGTCCAAAACAATTACCTTGTGATGTATATGTCTGAGCTGAAAACGCTGATTACAACCCCACCCATAAAGAGCAACCAGACGATTGTTTTGACTGGGATCCTGTCTACCTAAACAAGTAAAAGCGATGCGCTTGTAAGATGGTTCCCGGCTCCCTATGCGCGTCGTCAACTTGCGCCAATATTGTGATATTAGAGACGGGGCCCAGCTTAATGCACTTGCTGCGCGAAGCAACAGTGGGACCAGTTTAACTATTATGTTTTGGCGACAGAACTTTCTTCAAGAGTTGCAACCTTCAGACGAGTGGGCTGGACTTATGCATTAAAATTGAGTCCTACACCCCCTATTCGTAGCCGATAAAGATGACATATATATATGACGTATATAACGTATATAAGGGATGACCGGGAATAATAAAAATAAACTTTGGAGAGGGTAACGATAGAATTGGACATTCATTTCTGTACTGCGTTCCATCTATTCAAACTGTACTTAAATGTACCATTACTGTGTTGGTCTGCTACAATTGCACAAACAATGGAGGGCAATACATGTGAGTATTCTAGTTTAGAATTGGTTCAAATCAGACTGACAGACAAGAATGGAGTGAGTGAGTTTGGCTTTATACCGCTTTTAGCAATATTCCTGCAATATAACGGCGGGAGACAAGCTAATACGGCAAACAAATTATTCAGAATGGACTCACTATTTAGATCATGTCGGATTTTGATAGCATCGAGATAATCATTGATTTTTAAAATATAAAAAAGTATTACACTATATACAAGTCTCAGATTAGTGTTATATATTACGCCACCACATGATTATCAACATCTGTACCTGGCCGCTCCCTTTTTTGGCAGTGTAGAAAGGAATTACTTTGTGCAAAAGCAAACTACATTGTATCGGATGATTAAAGTAAAATATGGATGTCCAAAACGTGCAAATACATTGTTATTCGTTTGAGGGTTGCCTTGATATTCCTGTGCCATTTAATGCCATGGGAAAAATGGCGGCTTCCCTAAACTCGCGGGAAGATCAAGAGACTATCGAGTCAACAGTAAACGAATGGCTTCTTGATTTTGCTTGTTACACGGCATGGAAAGAATTTAGGGAAAAAAGAGCCGTAGATGCATTTTCAACTCGAGATTTGATTCAAGGTAATTTACTTAAATAAGTATTTCCCAATAATTGTTTGGTTGTCCAGTTTTCGGTAGCCGAGTCTTCACTACAATGTAGTCTGTGTTCTTTACATTATGCGCGTGTGTGTGTGCGTGCGTGTGTGCATAGTTTGATCATAGTTATTTCCCAGTGACACTTCAGCATAATCTTTTAGCATGATTTTGTTTCTGCATGGATTTGCACTTTCTTTTATTCCTAAAGCAATGTTATACCAAACGATGACAAATACAACCTAAATGGAATTACGTCAGCCTAAGATTTCTTCATTTGGAATGATCACGATGATAATAGTTAGTACACGTTTCGATAGAGGCTGTGATAAAAGAAGCTGTGGCTGTTCCTTGGAGAATATTAGGGAACAGTTGACATGGTTGAAGTGTGGTTATTAAGAGCCTGAGCTTCCTAGACCTGAAGTTTACTAGTTTATCTGTTTATGGCCTCATGACTAGGCCTAGAAGCTAAAGTTGCAGGTCACAGACAAAGTGCCTAGTTTTGTTTGTTACTGCTCTCAGCAGTAATCCAGCTATATGACAGTGGTTTGTAAATAATCGTTTCTGGACTCCACAATCCAGTGATTGACATAATGAGCATCTATCTTCGTAATTGGGATATGATGACCATGGTGACATGCATCAACCAAGTCAGCAAGCCTAACCTCCCGACCATGTTAGTCACCTCTTACTATAAGCATAGGTTGCTGAAGACCATTTCTTCAATGCCGTGTCAAAACCTGCATCAATTGTTTGCCACCAGGAGTACTGTGCCGCCCAATAAAGAATTCTTCTGTGAAGAAGAGTCGAGTCCAGCTGCTGCTGATACTGTGCAAGTTGTCTGATGGAGAGGACTACGATGCCCGGTACACAAGCAACTCCAACCTGACTGTCTTGGAGGAGGTGCTGGCGTCCTTTGACTCCATCATCAAAGGCTACGACATGTCCACCAACATCAGAAAGCAGGCTCCCAAAAAACGTGTCGCCATCATGATGCAGGTAAGCCCACCTGAATCTCATGTTAAACATGTTAAAGTGATCTTATATTGTGGCAAATTGTGTGCCTATCTGTTTGCCTGTCTAACTTTTACATTATTTAACACTGCTATGAACCAGAATGCTTAAACTTTGTGAGGATGATCCCTGCTATTATATAAACGTTCACAGAAATATGATTCTGTAAAAATATGGGTACAAATGTCAGCTTCGTCAATTTGTCAGATTTTTTAGCACGTGTCATGTAATTTCATATGCAATAACCATGGTAACCATTGTGCATGTAGTATGGGTATGTGATATTCTGAAAAACACAAAAAAGTTTACGTTTTATGATTTTTTTACTCTGCTAAGGGCTATAATCATGAAATATTTATGCTATTTTGTTCTAAAATCATGATAATAAGAAAATAAACATGATAAAATATGTCATGAATTTAATTTTCATGTGGGAAAAGGACAAACCATATAATTTCTAAGGATGTCGACCGGCCTGCTGTGTTCGTGAATTCTTAATGAATATGTTCGGGCCAGGCCACTCAGATGCAGTTGTTTGGGGCATATATATATCCTGTCTTATGCTGTATCTTTAGAACTATTATTCATGTTGTAGGCAGTGTATGTTTGCTGCCGAGCTGGAGACTTTGATTTGGCCAAGGAAGTGTTTAACAGGCAGTGGTGTGACCTTGATGAAACTGAAAAGGTGATTACATGTAAATACAAGAGACATGAAAATGTCCAGAGCTTCATCATGTGTTCATGCTGGTTATACAACATGGTGGTCACTTATCCTGTGTTAGAAATTACGAATGAAAGTCTGTAGGGGATACCTTGGTTCAAATACTATAGCTGCAGGGATACATCTAGAACTGCTCAGAGACCGATATTCAGCACCAAGTCTGAAGCAATTGTCAGTAAAAACAGGACTAGCATTTCAAATGTTCTGCATCCATTCAAAATTTGTATGCGAATAGGACGCAATATTTTGTAACTGGTAAAACCCTGGTCTGTTTCAGAAATATAGGGCCAGGGGATTTGGTTTTCAGTCTGAAAAATCAAATACACAGAACCTTCTTGAGTTGAAAGTCCTGTCGAGTTTTAGACAAGTGGTGTACCCTATTTAACAGGGTTAGAAATCATTTTTTATTCTCATCATGTTATAAGTTCGCAAAAGTGATCTCCCGGAGTTGCCATCTACCTAACAGTAAAAGTGGTAGTCAACAAGGAAATGTCACTGGTCCTGCTACAGAGGTGCCATCTACCTAATGGTACAAGTGGTAGTCCACAAGGAAATGTCACTAGTCCTGCAACAGAGTTGCCATCTACCTAACAGTAAAAGTGGTAGTCCACAAGGAAATGTCACTTGCCCTTCCATAATGGTACTAGTTTCAGACTGGCGGACTTAGGTTAATTTCGAACCCTGAAGTATGAGGTGACTTTGTTGTTTAGTGCCACACACAGGGATAATTCTAGGTTGGGGGCTTGTGCTTTTAGCATGTATAGTCCCTAAATTTGAAAAAAGGCACCCTTTTTAAAATACAATGGTGCATTTTAACATTGTGCTGTATGGGCGTACCTCTGGCATATTTAAAATGTTCACATAAGGGCCCATGTCAGAAAATTCCTGTAGTGAAACCTGCACACATAATGTATTTTCCTCTGTATCTTGTCTTATCCATGTGGTCTTATGTTCCAGGCCAAGAAGTCGGTCGTACAGACTGTGCTTAAGTCCAAAAACTCAAAACACAAAGACCTTGTGAAAGAGACATACAGGTCCTTCCTGGACGTTATGGAAGAGTTCCTACATCTAGTCATTGACACAATTGAACACATCGAAGAACCGTTTTTATTGAAGGTATTGTATGATCATGATCATATGGAGACAGGGATTATCACTGTACAATATGGGGCAGTCGGGTAGCCTGGTGGTTAAAGCGTTCGCTCGTCATGCCTAAGACCCGGGTTCGATTCCCGACATGGGTACAATGTGTGAAACCTATTTCTGGTGTCCCCGCCGTGATATTGCTGGAATATTGCTAAAAGTGGCGTAAAACCATACTGACTCACTCACTGTACAATATCAGTTACTGATGCCTCTCGACCTGTGAAGATCTGAGTTAGAATAAGTCTTCAGCGACCTATGCTTGCAGTAAAACTTACTAAAAGGCGACTATGCTTGTTGTAATATGAATATCATCGTATGCCAATTAAGATTCAGGGTAGAATAGGTCTTCAGCAACCAATGCTTGCTGTAAAAGGTGACTATGCTTGTCGTAAGATGCGACTAACGGGATCGGGTGGTCAGATTCGCTGACTTGGTTGATGCATGTCATCGATCCCAATTGCTAGGATCGATCCTCATGATATCAATCACTGGATTGTCTGATCCAGACTCGATTATTTACAGACCACCGTCATATACTGGAATAATGCTGAAAACATCTGACTGGTCATGCCACTGGATGAGATAAACAAATTATCATGTGTTATTTAACAAGAAAGTCGAATATCCTCTACATTTTATTCCTGGTAACCGTATTTCCTCACATTGTTCCATGTCCCAGCTTGCCAAGGCCTATGTCGGAACAGATAGACGAGACAACAACAATCAAACACCCAGGAAAAGAAGGTACTTGCTTAGACCAGGGTCCACACAGGCTTCAAAACACTTAATTACATTTATTTATGACAAGGGGGCACGGGTTGCCCAGTCATCAACGGTCTGAGGCGCTGCAATTCGCTGTACAGTGTTGCGTCCCTTGGTCATGCCAGAAACCTAAGATCGTGGGTTCGAATCCTGGCTTGCCCTGATTTTGTTTTTAGGTTTGTCATCACCATACCCGTGCTCATGGGTCTCAACAAAGTGGGGGGCGGTTGGGTAGCCTAGTGGTTAAAGCTTTTGCTCGTCACGCCGAAGACCCGGGTTCGATTCCCGACATGGGTACAATGTGTGAAGCCCATTTCTGGTGTCCCCCGCCGTGATATTGCTGGAATATTGCTAAAAGCGGCTTAAAACCATACTCACTCACTCAATCAACAAAGTGGTAAATGTCTAAGACGTGCTATAACTGGAATACTGTTCAAAGAGGCGTTAAACCTAACTCACTCACTCACTTCTAACAACAAACATTTTCTTTGGTTGTCGTTTCGTGGCAGCAAAATGGTGTTGAAATGTCAAAAATTCTCATCATCCTATCATTGACAGGATCTTTGTTTTAGATTTACATGATGTGGCCATGGTCTTCTGGCCTGCTTGCCTTGCAAATGGCAACAATGTGTGACTTCAATTCAGGTTTTAGCATGCTAATTTTAAGAAAGGGATTAGAAGCAGAATATTCCACTAATTCTCCTTGTGGATTTTGAATCAGCTAATCTAGATGGAATATGCACTGGTTCGTTTTCAGGAAAGTGAATCTGCAAGACATCAAGACAATATCGGCCCTTGAAGGCATTCCTATAGTCAATGAAAGCATCCCCCTCTCACCCAACCAGAGGGATCAGTTCAACAAGAAGCTGGGCAGATACAGGAGCAAGGTTTGTCACTTACCACGAGAAACTGTTGATCTATTCCCTTCCTCTTGCGGACTTCAGAAGCAATCATCTTCCAAAGGGTTGGGCTGTGTGCATGGTATAGGTCCCCCACACCTCCTAATGGTCTGTGTGTTTTCTATTTGGGCAGTATTGGTCTCCAGTATTGGTCCCCAGTCACCCTTTGGTAATATGAGACAGGCTATGTACCCATTAACCCGCGCTTGTCTCCCTATGGTTACGTGAAACAGACTATGTACCCATTAACCCGTGCTTGTCTCCCTGTGGTTATGTGAAACAGACTATGTACCCATTAACCCGTGTTTCTCTCCCTGTGGTAATGTGAGACAGACTATGTACCCATTAACCCGTGCTTGTCTCCCTGTGGTTATGTGAAACAGACTATGTACCCATTAACCCGTGCTTGTCTCCCTGTGGTTATGTGAGACAGACTATGTACCCATTAACCCGTGCTTGTCTCCCTATGGTTACGTGAAACAGACTAGGTACCCATTAACCCTTGCTTGTCTCCCTATGGTTATGTGAGACAGACTATGTACCCATTAACCCTTGCTTGTCTCCCTATGGTTACGTAAAACAGACTATGTACCCATTAACCCATACTTGTCTCCCTGTGGTAATGTGAGACAGACTATGTACCCATTAACCCGTGCTTGTCTCCCTGTGGTAATATGAGACAGACTATGTACCCATTAACCTGTGCTTGTCTCCCTGTGGTTATGTGAGACAGACTATGTACCCATTAACCCGTGCTTGTTTCCCTGTGGTAATGTGAGACAGACTATGTACCCATTAACCCGTGCTTCTCTCCCTGTGGTAATATGAGACAGACTATGTACCCATTAACCCGTGCTTGTCTCCCTGTGGTAATATGAGACAGACTATGTACCCATTAACCTGCACTTGTCTCCCTGTGGTAATGTGAGACAGACTATGTACCCATTAACCCGTGCTTGTATCCCTATGGTAATATGAAACAGACTATGTACCCATTAACCCGTGCTTGTCTCCCTGTGGTTATGTGAGACAGACTATGTACCCATTAACCCGTGCTTGTCTCCCTGTGGTAGTGTGAAACAGACTATGTACCCATTAACCCGTGCTTGTCTCCCTATGGTTACGTGAAACAGACTATGTACCCATTAACCCGTGCTTGTCTCCCTGTGGTAATATGAGACAGACTATGTACCCATTAACCCGTGCTTGTCTCCCTGTGGAATGTGAGACAGACTATGTACCCATTAACCTGCACTTGCCTCCCTGTGGTAATGTGAGACAGACTATGTACCCATTAACCCGTGCTTGTCTCCCTGTGGAATGTGAGACAGACTATGTACCCATTTCCCCCCTGCTTGTATCCCTGTGGAATGTGAGACAGACTATGTACCCATTAACCTGCACTTGTCTCCCTGTGGTAATGTGAGACAGACTATGTACCCATTAACCCGTGCTTGTCTCCCTGTGGTTATGTGAGACAGACTATGTACCCATTAACCCGTGCTTGTCTCCCTATGGTTACGTGAAACAGACTAGGTACCCATTAACCCTTGCTTGTCTCCCTATGGTTATGTGAGACAGACTATGTACCCATTAACCCTTGCTTGTCTCCCTATGGTTACGTAAAACAGACTATGTACCCATTAACCCATACTTGTCTCCCTGTGGTAATGTGAGACAGACTATGTACCCATTAACCCGTGCTTGTCTCCCTGTGGTAATATGAGACAGACTATGTACCCATTAACCTGTGCTTGTCTCCCTGTGGTTATGTGAGACAGACTATGTACCCATTAACCCGTGCTTGTTTCCCTGTGGTAATGTGAGACAGACTATGTACCCATTAACCCGTGCTTCTCTCCCTGTGGTAATATGAGACAGACTATGTACCCATTAACCCGTGCTTGTCTCCCTGTGGTAATATGAGACAGACTATGTACCCATTAACCTGCACTTGTCTCCCTGTGGTAATGTGAGACAGACTATGTACCCATTAACCCGTGCTTGTATCCCTATGGTAATATGAAACAGACTATGTACCCATTAACCCGTGCTTGTCTCCCTGTGGTTATGTGAGACAGACTATGTACCCATTAACCCGTGCTTGTCTCCCTGTGGTAGTGTGAAACAGACTATGTACCCATTAACCCGTGCTTGTCTCCCTATGGTTACGTGAAACAGACTATGTACCCATTAACCCGTGCTTGTCTCCCTGTGGTAATATGAGACAGACTATGTACCCATTAACCCGTGCTTGTCTCCCTGTGGAATGTGAGACAGACTATGTACCCATTAACCTGCACTTGCCTCCCTGTGGTAATGTGAGACAGACTATGTACCCATTAACCCGTGCTTGTCTCCCTGTGGAATGTGAGACAGACTATGTACCCATTTCCCCCCTGCTTGTATCCCTGTGGAATGTGAGACAGACTATGTACCCATTAACCTGCACTTGTCTCCCTGTGGTAATGTGAGACAGACTATGTACCCATTAACCCGTGCTTGTCTCCCTGTGGTTATGTGAGACAGACTATGTACCCATTAACCCTTGCTTGTATCCCTGTGGTTATGTGAGACAGACTATGTACCCATTAACCCGTGCTTGTCTCCCTGTGGTTATGTGAGACAGACTATGTACCCATTAACCTATGCTTGTCTCCCTGTGGAATGTGAGACAGACTATGTACCCATTAACCTGCACTTGCCTCCCTGTGGTAATGTGAGACAGACTATGTACCCATTAACCCGTGCTTGTCTCCCTGTGGAATGTGAGACAGACTATGTACCCATTAACCCGTGCTTGTATCCCTGTGGTAATATGAGACAGACTATGTACCCATTAACCTATGCTTGTCTCCCTGTGGAATGTGAGACAGACTATGTACCCATTAACCTGCACTTGTCTCCCTGTGGTAATGTGAGACAGACTATGTACCCATTAACCCGTGCTTGTCTCCCTGTGGTTATGTGAGACAGACTATGTACCCATTAACCCTTGCTTGTATCCCTGTGGTTATGTGAGACAGACTATGTACCCATTAACCCGTGCTTGTCTCACTGTGGTTATGTGAGACAGACTATGTACCCATTAACCTATGCTTGTCTCCCTGTGGAATGTGAGACAGACTATGTACCCATTAACCTGCACTTGTCTCCCTGTGGTAATGTGAGACAGACTATGTACCCATTAACCCTTGCTTGTCTCCCTGTGGTTATGTGAGACAGACTATGTACCCATTAACCCTTGCTTGTATCCCTGTGGTTATGTGAGACAGACTATGTACCCATTAACCCTTGCTTGTATCCCTGTGGAATGTGAGACAGACTATGTACCCATTAACCCGTGCTTGTCTCCCTGTGGTTATGTGAGACAGACTATGTACCCATTAACCTATGCTTGTCTCCCTGTGGAATGTGAGACAGACTATGTACCCATTAACCTGCACTTGTCTCCCTGTGGTAATGTGAGACAGACTATGTACCCATTAACCCGTGCTTGTCTCCCTGTGGTTATGTGAGACAGACTATGTACCCATTAACCCTTGCTTGTATCCCTGTGGTTATGTGAGACAGACTATGTACCCATTAACCCTTGCTTGTATCCCTGTGGTAATGTGAGACAGACTATGTACCCATTAACCCGTGCTTGTCTCCCTGTGGTAGTGTGAGACAGACTATGTACCCATTAACCCGTGCTTGTCTCCCTGTGGTAATATGAAACAGACTATGTACCCATTAACCCGTGCTTGTCTCCCTATGGTAATATGAAACAGACTATGTACCCATTAACCCGTGCTTGTCTCCCTGTGGTAATGTGAAACAGACTATGTACCCATTAACCCATGCTTGTCTCCCTATGGTTATGTGAAACAGACTATGTACCCATTAACCCGTGCTTGTCTCCCTGTGGTTATGTGAGACAGACTATGTACCCATTAACCCTTGCTTGTCTCCCTGTGGTAATGTGAAACAGACTATGTACCCATTAACCCTTGCTTGTATCCCTGTGGTACTGTGAGACAGACTATGTACCCATTAACCCGTGCTTGTCTCCCTGTGGTAATGTGAGACAGACTATGTACCCATTAACCCGTGCTTGTCTCCCTGTGGTAATGTGAGACAGACTATGTACCCATTAACCCGTGCTTGTATCCCTGTGGTAATGTGAGACAGACTATGTACCCATTAACCCGTGCTTGTCTCCCTGTGGTAATGTGAAACAGACTATGTACCCATTAACCCGTGCTTGTCTCCCTGTGGTAATGTGAGACAGACTATGTACCCATTAACCCGTGCTTGTCTCCCTGTGGTAATGTGAGACAGACTATGTACATTAGTGTATTCAGTACACAAGTTGAGGTGGTGAAATGGGGTTTAATGTTGCGTCCAAGATTATTGCACCTATATAGCGACGTGCACACGTGTGTGTGTGTGTGTGTGCGTGGGTTCATGTGTGCACATGTGTGTGTGTGTGCGTGGGTTCACGTGTGTGTGTGTGCGTGGGTTCATGTGTGCATGCGTGTTTGTACAGGGTAACAACAAGTACAATCTTTAAACGTCATTTTGTATGACGCGGACGAGATCAAACCCTGGACCATCCACTCTCCGGGTGGATGCTCCACCAGAGCAGAGAGGTGGTCTAAATACAAAAGAAAAGGACAAGCCTTCATTTTCCCTGCTATAATAGTCATTTCAAAGAATTTAGAGTTGTTTTGGGTTGTGCGGGTTGTGTCAGGCAGTATTACAAACAGTACGTGATAAAGCATGTTGTGGTTGGTTTCAGACTGTGAACGGCATCGTAACAGCAGCGCTACAGGACACGAACAACTCCAACATGGACTACGAGTCTGAGGTGGACATGTCTGTTGAAGGTAACTAAAACATAGGCTCCATTCTACACTTGCAAAAATGCAAGTTTTAAACTAATCGTTTTTCATGCATTTACTATGCATTTCTCTTGCTTCTATCAATGCTGAGTGGATGGTGCTCATGGCTTGATTCGGTCGTTAAAAAGGGTGACTACACTGCAACACGGCTGTATGTTTTCACAAGTGATAGGAGGAACATATGTACACAAACCTGTGCAGTATTGACGATGACTAGCCCTGTGTTATCTCTGTTTTTCAGTAGATTTTAGTCGGAACATTAATTAGTTATATTTTTCTTGAAAATGACCAAAGAAATGTTGCTAAACGGGACCCCCTCTTGTGTTTAAAGTCTCCAACTTTTGCAGATGATGGTGACTTACAAGAGACAACCAGAGACAGTCCAAGACGTTCAAGGTATGTATTTAACAAATTATGCTGGTACATTAAAGTAAGAAATATGTAATCATTGCCTTGAAAAGGCCTTAAAATACACTCTCACTCACTCACTCACTCACTCACTCACTCACTCACTCACTCTTTTTACAGTGCCTCAAGAAGCCCAAGAAGTGATCATAACACTAAACACAAGAGTAAAAGGTGAGGAAAGCTGAATACAGTTGCTTCATGAAGTGAGAACTCAGTACATTGATCAGAAAGAATCTACCTGTCCTATCCTTGTGATCGCATTGCAATTGCATGGTGAGATTTTCCCGAGGCAAGGGAGATAACTGATTATAGGCAAGTATTCCGGAGTTACATTTTGACTGGACTAACGAGTCTATGCATAGTCCATCCAACGAGCTAGACATGGGTTCATGGACAACATGGATTTCAACATGCAGATTTCAGTCAACTGGGCACCGACTGATATTTTGCAAAATTTCATGTTTTTATTTAGGTGCTCAAGTGATTTGATGCACTTCACGAGGTAAGGACCATTTAATTACAATATAGATCTTGATTATTGATCAGATCGTTTTGACTGGGCACTGCCATTTTGGTTGAAGCAATTGCAAGTGATATGAGTGGTGGAATCTGATTGGTCAATATAAGGGGCATAGAAGGGACATAACTCGTAATAGCCACTGGTGGTGCTATGATCGAGCCTGGAAATTCCAGCCTAGTTCATCAAGGGCAGAAACTGGACTTTTATAGTCCATTGACACCCTTGCCTCGGGGAGATGCATGGTGAGCAAGCAAAACTAAATGGATCAGGTTGTCAGACGCCATGTTTTTGTTGGTTGCATTTCATTGTACCCTGATGACGTGGGATACTGGAACCTGATATCAGTCACCTGGTCACTGGATTGTCTGGTCCAGACTTGATTATTTACAGGCCATTGTCATACAGCTGAAATATTGCTGAGTGCGGCTTTAAACAACAAACACACACAATTTGCATGTACTACTTCATTTAGAACTTCACATCTTGCATTTTCTTTTGAGTAAACCGACTGGGCTTGTTGTTTAAAGTTTTGTTGACGTGTACAGAACAAGTATTTCATCGTTAATGGTTTTCTTTCTTTTCAGCCCTTCAGATACAAAAAAACTATTACTTTCAACACAAAAAGCAAGAAAACGACTTGCAAAGACAACAGAGTCCCTAAGGTCAGTTGATGGATGATGATATGATAATGATACAGTGTCATTAAAATCAGACTTTAGTTCTGGCTATCACTAATCCAAGATCTGAGGACATCCAATTACAGGACCCTACATAAGATGTAAGCTAAGATGTTGAACCTACATAAGATGTAAGCTTGGATGTTGAACCAACAAAAGATGTAAGCTAGGATGTTGAACCTACGTAAGATGTAAGCTTGGATGTTGAACCAACAAAAGATGTAAGCTAGGATATTGAACCTATGTAAGATGTAAGCTTGGATGTTGAACCAACAAAAGATGTAAGCTAGGATATTGAACCTATGTAAGATGTAAACTTGGATGTTGAACCAACAAAAGATGTAAGCTAGGATATTGACCGTACATGAGATGTAAGCTGGAATGTTGCACCTACATATGATGTAAGCTGGATGTTGAACCTACATAAGATGTAAGCTAGGATGTTGAACCTACGTAAGATGTAAGCAAGGATGTTGAACCTACATAAGATGTAAGCTAAGATGTTGAACCTACATAAGATGTAAGCTAGGATGTTGAACCTACATAAGATGTAAGCTTGGATGTTGAACCAACAAAAGATGTAAGCTAGGATGTTGAACCTATGTAAGATGTAAGCTTGGATGTTGAACCAACAAAAGATGTAAGCTAGGATATTGAACCTATGTAAGATGTAAACTTGGATGTTGAACCAACAAAAGATGTAAGCTAGGATATTGACCGTACATGAGATGTAAGCTGGAATGTTGCACCTACATATGATGTAAGCTAGGATGTTGACCCTACATAAGATGTAAGCTAGGATGCTGAACCTACGTAAGATGTAAGCTAGGATGTTGAACCTACGTAAGATGTAAGCTAGGATGTTGAACCTACATAAGATGTAAGCTAGGATGTTGAACCTACATAAGATGTAAGCTTGGATGTTGAACCTATGTAAGATGTAAGCTAAGATGTTGAACCAACATAAGAAGTAAGCTAGGATGTTGAACCAACATAAGATGTAAGCTGGGATGTTGAACCTACATAAGATGTAAGGTTGGATGTTGAACCTACATAAGATGTAAGCTAGGATGTTGAACCTACATAAGATGTAAGGTTGGATGTTGAACCTACATAAGATGTAAGCTAAGATGTTGACCCTACATAAGGTATAAGCTGGGATGTTGAACCTACATAAGATGTAAGCTTGGATGTTGAACCAACAAAAGATGTAAGCTAGGATATTGAACCTATGTAAGATGTAAGCTTGGATGTTGAACCAACAAAAGATGTAAGCTAGGATATTGACCGTACATGAGATGTAAGCTGGAATGTTGCACCTACATATGATGTAAGCTAGGATGTTGACCCTACATAAGATGTAAGCTAGGATGTTGAACCTACGTAAGATGTAAGCTATGATGTTGAACCTACATAAGATGTAAGCTAGGATGTTGAACCTACATAAGATGTAAGCTAGGATGTTGAACCTACATAAGATGTAAGCTTGGATGTTGAACCTATGTAAGATGTAAGCTAAGATGTTGAACCAACATAAGAAGTAAACTAGGATGTTGAACCAACATAAGATGTAAGCTAGGATGTTGAACCTACATAAGATGTAAGCTAGGATGTTGACCCTACATAAGATGTAAGCTAGGATGTTGAACCTACATGAGGAGTGAGCTAGGATGTTGAACCTACATAAGATGTAAGCTTGGATGTTGAACCTACGTAAGATGTAAGCTGGGATGTTGAACCTTCATAAGATGTAAGCTAAGATGTTGACCCTACATAAGATGTAAGCTATGATGTTGACCCTACATAAGATGTAAGCTAAGATGTTGAACCTACATAAGATGTAAGCTAGGATGTTGAACCTACATAAGATGTAAGCTAGGATGTTGATCCTGCATAAGACGTAATCTAGGATGTTGACCGTACATAAGATGTAAGCTAGGATGTTGACCATACATAAGATGTAAGCTTGGATGTTGACCCTACATAAGATGTAAGCTAGGATGTTGAACCTACATAAGATGTAAGCTAGGATGTTGACCCTACATAAGATGTAAGCTAAGATGTTGAACCTACATAAGATGTAAGCTAAGATGTTGACCCTACATAAGATGTAAGCTTGGATGTTGACCCTACATAAGATGTAAGCTAGGATGTTGAACCTACATGAGATGTGAGCTAGGATGTTGAATCTAAATAAGATGTATGCTAAGTTATTGAACCTACATAAGATGTGGGCTTGGATGTTGAACCTACATAAGATGTCAGGTTGGATGTTGACCCTACATAAGATGTAAGCTAGGATGTTGAACCTAGATAAGATGTAAGCTAGGATGATGAACCTACATAAGATGTAAGGTTGGATGTTGAACCTACGTAAGATGTAAGCAAGGATGTTGAACCAACATAAGATGTAAGCTAGGATGTTGAACCAACATAAGATGTAAGCTAGGATGTTGAACCAACATAAGATGTAAGCTAAGATGTTGAACCAACATAAGATGTAAGCTAGGATGTTGACCCTACATAAGATGTAAGCTAGGATGTTGACCCTACATAAGATGTAAGCAGGGTTCGCCCTGACGCAGAAAACCTGCGTATTTGACGCATAAATAATTGAAAATAAGCTAAAAATATTTTCTACTGCGTCAGTGTTGACGCAATGAAACAGCCATTACAATTAGTAAACTGAGACCTTTCCATTTGTCAGAAAGAAGATACAGTGATCCCTCGTTACAACGCTACCTTCGGGGTCCAAATAATTGATTAGCGTTATAGATGATCAGCGGTTAACTCTTTCAACACCATAGGCTGGTTTTCGGCCAAGAAGCATCGAGTCCCCAGACACCCTAAGCGGGTTGACCGGCCAAGCCGTAGTCACGTCAAAATAGAATATATTTTTATGGACCTACCTGTAATATCATTCATTTATTAAATCTATCACATTTCACAATGTCTGAAATACGTAATCCATTTCAATTAATAATTTTTTATCGATAAATTAAAAAATTATTCACTATGTCCCCGCGATGTTATTGAAAATAACATTCTCGGACACACATTTGGACAACGGGTCCACATCGAACATGTCAAAGAGCAAAATAAAGGCGTTTTAAACAAATCTTTAAATATATTATACAAAGGTTGGATATTGAACCGATGTAAGATGTAAATAGGATGTTAAACCTACATAAGATGTAAGCTAGGATGTTGAACCTACATAAGATGTAAGCTTGGATGTTGAACCTACATAAGATGTAAGCTAGGATGTTGAACCTACATAAGATGTAAGCTGGATGTTGAACCTACATAAGATGTAAGCTAGGATGTTGAACCTACATAAGATGTAAGCTAGGATGTTGAACCTACATAAGATGTAAGCTGGATGTTGAACCTACATAAGATGTAAGCTAAGATGTTAAACCAACATAAGATGTAAGCTGGATGTTGAACCTACATAAGATGTAAGCTAGGATGTTGAACCTACATAAGATGTAAGCTAGGATGTTGAACCTACATAAGATGTAAGCTAGGATGTTGAACCAACATTAGATGTAAGCTAGGATGTTAAACCAACATAAGATGTAAGCTGGATGTTGAAGCTACATAAGATGTAAGCTAGGATGTTGAACCTACATAAGATGTAAGCTTGGATGTTGAACCTACATAAGATGTAAGCTGGATGTTGAACCTACATAAGATGTAAGCTAGGATGTTGAACCTACATAAGATGTAAGCTGGATGTTGAACCTACATAAGATGTAAGCTAGGATGTTGAACCTACATAAGATGTAAGCTTGGATGTTGAACCTACATAAGATGTAAGCTGGATGTTGAACCTACATAAGATGTAAGCTGGATGTTGAACCTACATAAGATGTAAGCTGGGATGTTGAACCTACATAAGATGTAAGCTTGGATGTTGAACCTACATAAGATGTAAGCTGGATGTTGAACCTACATAAGATGTAAGCTTGGATGTTGAACCTACGTAAGATGTAAGCTGGATGTTGAACCTACATAAGATGTAAGCTAGGATGTTGAACCTACATAAGATGTAAGCTGGATGTTGAACCTACATAAGATGTAAGCTAGGATGTTGAACCTACGTAAGATGTAAGCTAGGATGTTGAACCTACATAAGATGTAAGCTGGATGTTGAACCTACATAAGATGTAAGCTAGGATGTTGAACCTACGTAAGATGTAAGCTAGGATGTTGCACCTACATAAGATGTAAGCTGGATGTTGAACCTACATAAGATGTAAGCTAGGATGTTGAACCTACATAAGATGTAAGCTGGATGTTGACCCTACATAAGATGTAAGCTAGGATGTTGAACCTACATAAGATGTAAGCTTGGATGTTGAACCTACATAAGATGTAAGCTAGGATGTTGAACCTACATAAGATGTAAGCTAGGATGTTGAACCTACATAAGATGTAAGCTGGATGTTGAACCTACATAAGATGTAAGCTAGGATGTTGAACCTACATAAGATGTAAGCTGGATGTTGAACCTACATAAGATGTAAGCTTGGATGTTGAACCTACATAAGATGTAAGCTGGATGTTGAACCTACATAAGATGTAAGCTAAGATGTTGACCCTACATAAGATGTAAGCTAAGATGTTGAACCTACATAAGATGTAAGCTTGGATGTTGAACCTACATAAGATGTAAGCTTGGATGTTGAACCTACATAAGATGTAAGCTGGATGTTGAACCTACATAAGATGTAAGCTGGATGTTGAACCTACATAAGAAGTAAGCTAGGATGTTGAACCTACATAAGATGTAAGCTGGATGTTGAACCTACATAAGATGTAAGCTAGGATGTTGAACCAACATAAGATGTAAGCTAGGATGTTGACCCTACATAAGATGTAAGCTGGATGTTGAACCTACATAAGATGTAAGCTAGGATGTTGACCCTACATAAGATGTAAGCTAGGATGTTGAACCTACATAAGATGTAAGCTAGGATGTTGAACCTACATAAGATGTAAGCTAGGATGTTGACCCTACATAAGATGTAAGCTATGATGTTGAACCTACATAAGATGTAAGCTAGGATGTTGAACCTACATAAGATGTAAGCTTGGATGTTGAACCTACATAAGATGTAAGCTGGATGTTGCACCTACTGCCTGTTGTAAGCTGGATGTTGCACCTACTGCCTGTTGTAAGCTGGATGTTGCACCTACTGCCTGTTGTAAGCTGGATTGCCCCTACTGCCTGTTGTAGTACATATAGTGTCTCATGTTCTACAGGAAGACCGTGCGGGATGTGCAAGCTGTTTCCTCATCTCCAAAGTCAAATGACAGGTAGGGAAAAAGGATGAGGACGACGAACTACAGTTACTTGTAAATGTTTCAATTTTGTTAAATGAATGAAAATTGAAATATAAGGTTTTTTATCATGTTTTCAGTTTGTATTTATTCAGCCATTTTTGTTCAAAATGTTATGAAATTTGGTATATGTTTAGTGGTGGGACAAAAATGTTTTTTTCGCGATAATAAGACATTGTTTCGACCTTTGTGTTTTTATATGCTCTTGTTTTCTCTCAAAATGCATATTTGGCTCTGCAAACAATTCCTCCTCTCAAATTTCCACAGTGAGGGATCACACATTGCTGAACTTCGGAATGTATGTTTTTTTACACTAGATGATGTCATTTGGGCCTGTTGTTCAAATCTTTAGTTTTAGTGTCCCAGTATTTACACACACAATATTTGAATAGCATTGCTGACACCAACTTTTGTAAAGTCGCTCTCTTTTTTTGGTAGTGTTAGCTGTTGCCTACATCTCTAGATGAGGTTCAGTGAGGTGGCACTATATTCTGTGTGAGGTGAGGTGACATGGGATTTAACGTCGTGTCCAAGATTATTCTTATGTGTGTGTGTCTGTGTGTTGTGTCTGTTTGTACTAGTCCGGACTCATGCTGATTTCATAGTGCTAGCCCACTGAGTTACCATGCCGCAGTTTAACATGAATACCCCACTCAGACACCGTATACTGACTCCAAGCCGACCAGTCCTTGTTTTAGCCCCTTAATGCCGAGCGCCAGACAGGGTAACAATCAAGTACCATCTTTTAACGTCTTTTTGTATGACGCGGCCAAAGATTGAACCCCGGACCTTCTGCTCTTCGGGCGGACACTCTACCACTAGACCACAGAGGCAGCCCTATGTTCTTTGCTGTTGCAGTGATAGGTTGAGGGATTAAGTTGTGTATCAGATGGGTGTAACAGATGTGTATCAGCTTGGTAAAAAGGAAAATGATTTTCTCAGCAGCAAGAGGAAAGGGAGTGGGAAATCCTCTGAGTCCGGGCAATCTGGAGAGGGAACTCCACGATCACGAACGAGCAACAGAGACCGATCCCGAAACAGTGACGGGGCCAACCGATTACGGCATGGATCTTCCCCACACACAAGTCCACTGAAGGACATCCGGGAGTTCCGTTACAAGAAGAATGTGCACAGAAAGGACCGCCACGTCTTTGACCTGCCCAGCTCAGACGATGCAGAAAGTGTGGATGTCACAGATGAGGAAGATTCTGAAGATGAAGGTAGGGTCATGTATACATGTTGCTGTTGCTCTTATGACAAATAGTCATTGGAAGAAACAAGACTGCTTTCAGTTTTGGTTGGAATATGGCCGTCGCTGCTGCTGATATTTCTATTGACATTAGAGATTATCATTCCAAATGGCCTTGGGGAATTCTTTTGGCACTTGTCATGTAAAGATCAAAGGTCAAATTCATGAGATAGAAAAAGAGTTGTTGCTTTTTCTCAAAAGGTATTGATTCATTTCTTATTAGACTTTGGTATGTACTTTCTCTAGGATGGGGCCCTGCAACAAATGTTTTTGCAAATATTCCAACACGAAATGTTGGTGCCATGTGTGTCAAAGGTCAAGGGCATCTTTGAGGTTATTGTGAAACATGGTGTCATTCACTGCCAGTTTCTGTTGCATTTGTATGATCCTGAAACTTGATTAATTGCTGGATCTTTGGAAGTCTTTTGTATGAAGGTATTGACGTGGTGGCACGTGGTCCTGTGCACAGGGCAGAGATCCCAAATCAGGTGAAGTTAAGCAACGTCGGTCTCGGAGAGTAGTTGGATGGGTGACCACGTTCAGTAGCTTGGCTCCTGAGAGTTTCTAGGGCTTCGGTCCTGCCCCACACTGAAGCACATGTACCACATGTGGTGTCTCCTTAGGCAAGTGACTTTGTTTGAAATGTGCCTCTGTTCACCCAGCAGTGAATGGGTACCCGGTAGGATGTGATGGTAATGTGGCTGTTAACCTTCTAGCGCCTCACAGGCAGTTGGGTTGTATACTCCCCAAGGAGCTGAGAATGAAATCGAGAGCTCACTGATCCATTGACCGGGGTAATAATAGTGTAGCGCTATGAGCATCCACTTGGTGAATGGAATCTGGCGCATTATAAATGCACTTATTATTTAAGGTCAATGTCTTGAATGCTTTCTGACTGGAAGTACCTTGTGGAATTTAAAGACTTTAGAGACTGAGGAAATTTCGTATTTACGAATTTAAAGTTTTTCACGTCATTGTTTTTCTGAACCAACCCGTTTCTTATCAGGATCTTAAAATTAGATAACCTGCTCATCATGCTCATAGAGAAATGAAAACTGTCTTTCCTATATGTCATAGTGTCATCCAGAAAACAACTTCGTCTGGAAGGTCGCCCCAAAGTGCGGCGGAGCTTGCAGCCTAAGCAGCCCAAGGTGAAGGGTAAGTATGCTGGTTTTACCGCCAGCAGGACATTCTGGACCCCAAAGGAAGAGGAGGAGTTCTTTAAGGCAGTGCAAAAGTTCGGTGTGGGAAACTGGGCAACAGTCAAGGCCAAACTAAAGACGTTCAGGTCGGGGATAGATCTGAAGGATAAGTGGCGGAATTTGGACAGATCTGGTAAATTGAGGACTTTGACAAAGAACTTTGGAAAAGTTTTGTGAGAGAAATATTTTAATGTCGATAAGGAGGGAAAAGCTGATTAGTTTTATACAAGAGCAACTCGCATCTACTTTTTTAGTGAATGGCCCATCATCCTCCAACTGCTTCAGGTTTACTGTGTGAGATGGTCAGTCTTTGCGTTTCTCAATAATATAAGCTTCAATCTTCAGGTTAGGTTTAGGCCATGGGTGGTCATCACTGTACTGAGTTGCGTCCTTGGTCATGGCAGAAACCTATGATCGTGCGTTCGAATCCTGGTTCACCATGATTATGTTTCTAGGTTTGTCAGCACCATACCCATGCTCGTTGGTTTCACTGAAGTGGTAAACATGTCTAAGAGTTGCATTACTTTGGGCTTTCCTCCCACATTAAGCTGACATGCCGTGATATAACTGGAATATGGTTCCGGCCGGCCTTAAGCCCAACTTACATGTTGAGATTAACATGATTAGTAATGGCGTCCTTGCTATCCAGGGTGAGGTTGTACAAAGCGATCTTAGCGCTAAGGTGATCGTAACTTCCATACCTTAACATACACTTACCACAGTCGTAGCACTAAGGTTGTCTTGTACAACAGTACCCTGGTATTCTGTCTGTAAGGATCCTGGAGAGAGTTCATGGAATGAAATATTTGTAAGAAGCAATGCAATGATATGGGTACAACGACATGCCTGATGGGTGACGTTCCCAAATTGCATTGATCGCTGCTCCTGTTGTCAACCTTGGGCTGCCAGATGCAGACTCATCATGTACGAGATATGTCATATATATATATGTAATATTGCTATTTGTAATGAACACAGTCACTGACAATGTGCAGGATTGTGATGACTCGACGAAAGATGGAAACTGTCAATGTAACGTAAGTTACCATGGCGTGATGACAAGTTGAAATATAAATATTTGACATCAATGCCATCGATGGTATTGATACACAATACAGAAATAAAATTATCCTTAATCGTATACTTCACCATTCGTCTTGATCCGAGCTACACCCATCTTCCAGGGGCAAGAGAGTTAACTGACTTTAAAAGTCCAGTTTAAAATGTGGGGAATTAAACCCAGACCTTCAGCGTGAGGAGTGAACGCTTTAACCACAAGGCTACCCAACCACCCTTTAACAACAAGAAGTCTTATGGGCTTTCAAAGTGTCAACACAATGTAACAAAACCTACATTATGATTATGATTGTGGGTTCGAATCCCGGTTCACCCCGATTATGTTTCTAGGTTTGTCAGCACCATACCCTTGCACGTGGGTTTCACTGAAGTGGTAAATGTCTGAGACCTGCATCACTTCAGGCTTTCCTCCCACTTTAAGCTGACATGCCGCAATATGACTTGAATACTGTTAAAAGCGGCGCTAAACCCAACTCACTCACTCACTCACTTTTCCATTCAGCAACTTCATCTTTGTCTTGTATCAGGGTTATTTTTATTAAATTAGGTTTCATACGTGGGGATGAAGTGTCAAGGAGACACATTTGCAATGATACTCATCTCCACCTCATGGTTCAACAAGATCAAGAATGGAGGTTGTACATGTAATCTGCCATCTGTTGCCCAATTGGACAATTGGTCTTATTTCAGAGGAACTCCAGACTTGAGTGTGTTCATATTTGATAACTATATTAATAAAACATTCCACTGATTTTGGATTTTGATGAAGTGGTTAATTAGGAGATAAACCTGTGTTTTGAAATTTGATGTAGTCCCAATGTGGAGTAGATACCTCTTATTTCAATTTGGTGGCATGAGCTTTCAAATGTATAAATCAAGCATTCTTCAATGTCATGGTAGAATTTGGAATAATTGTAACTGTCCAGTGGTTAAAGTGTTCGCTCATCACGCCGAGGACCCAGTTTCGATTCCTTACATGGGTACAAAATGTGAAGCCCATTTCTAGTGTCCCACTGCCGTGCTATTGTTGGAATATTGCTAAAAGCGGCGTAAAACCATACTCACTCACACAGTATTTACAAAAGTAACTATCACAATGAATTTGCATACCATTCTGACATCATCAGTCACCATGACATCACAATCAAATGACATCACTAATGTCTCTGCTACTGAAGCTGGTTAGCTGTACTTGTTACACTCAAGACACTGGTTATTACTGGTTAGAAACTGAAAATGTTTGAAGAATGATTTTGGATGACAAATAGATATCAAATATGCATGTATGAACACTCTTTGATAATCAACTTTATTGACTAGTGTCATACCCTTGGGTCAGATATTCTCTCTCTTACAATCCTCCTCTTGACCTTGTTACAAAATTGTCTCACTTCTGTCCGTGTCATTTCTCGACCACAGGTATGAACAAAAAATGATTCTGGAATTGTTTCGCACACGCATGGGAGATAACTCTAAATATTTCATCATGTTTAATGTTTTGCATGTGACTTTACTTGCAGTATTGATTTGTATTTATTGTACTGTACCTTCGAAAATGTGTCTTGTTATTGGATTGATTTTGCTAGAACCAAATTATTTGAAACAAGACACTGTTGTTATGGTAACTGACTTGACTGTGACTTCAGTTTAAAACTGCAGGCGGTTATTACCGTAATACTGCTAAAAGTGACGTAAAACCATACTCACTCACTCACTCATTCAAATATGCTGTGTAAATTGTAATTGTAAAGTTATGGACAAGACTGACAGATCAAAGTGACTAATTAGTTACCAAGGCTATTGATAAATTGTCTTGCTTGAATGAATATTGTGCATTCTTGATATATTTTCATAAGCATCTATGTGTTTGTTTACCTTTTGGATACTGTTAATTAAGACACACCATTTCCTGTATGTTGTGTTTACTGTAATAAAGTTGTTGATGATATCATATGATACAGTTGTTGGCTGTTCCTGGGACTAAAGAAACAATTGGCATTTAAAAACGAAGATCGAAAGTGAAATTATTGGAATCCGTGATTCTGACACTGTATCCAATGAATGCTTTGAGTTTCACAGCCATCTGTTCAAAGAAGCATTACATCAAACTCACTACCTCATGTGGTAGTCCACAAGCACCTTGTATGTGAGTTATATGTCTCAAACAACTATGATATGTATCTCTGAATAGATTGGAGACCGCCTCCGTGGTCTAGTGGTAGAGCGTCCGCCCGGAGAGCGGAAGGTTCGGGGTTCGATCCCAGGCCGTTAATAGATGGGACTTGTTGTTACCCTGTCTGGCGCTCGGCATTAAGGGGCTAAAACAAGGACTGGTCGGCTTGGAGTCAGTATACTGTGTCTGAGTGGGGTATTCATGTTAAACTGCGGCATGGTAACTCAGTGGGCTAGCACTATAAATCGGCGCCAGTCCGGACTGGTACAACCAGCCACACACATACACACACGTACACACACGTGCATGCACGTCGCTATATAAGTGCAATAATCTTGGACGAGGCGTTAAACCCAATTTCACCTCACCTCACCTGAATAGACTGCATAGTGTCCTTGCAAACATTACTGGTTAGGGGGCATGGGTCCAGCAGACTCAAGGTGCTGCAGTTGGTCATGCAGAGTTGTGTCTCAGAGGTGCCAGAAACCTATGCTCATGGTTCGAATCCCAGTTTATATTCTAGATTTGTCAGCATGTCTGTGCTCATTTTTGTGACAAAACTAGAAATGTCTAAAACCTGTTTGATAGGCATTTACTTAGAAGTTGACGAATGACAAAGTAGACACAATTTATGGATAACAACTTCACTAATACTGTAAAAAGCAACATTTCGGTATAGATCCTACTTATACCATTATTCTTGCTTGACAACGGTATTAATATCTATACTGAAATGTCGCTTTTTACATTATTAAAGAAGTTGTTATCCATAAATTGTGTCTTCTTTGTCTGAGACCTGCATCACTTCCCCTCACATGAACCCAACAGGCTACCAAATACTGAAATCCTGTTCAAAGCAGCTTTTATCCAAAAAAGAAAGAGGGTATTTCAATACCAATTTGTGATGACACAAGGAATGAAGAAGGTTTGTCATCACCGGAAGCCATCAAATACAATGTACAAAAGAAAATAAATAGAGGTTATCACGCGAGTGTGTTTGGGGATGGTAAATATCCTGCATTAGGAATAAACATTGTATTTAGCGAGCCTTGGCGAGCTAAATACATAGTGTTTATTCCTAATACAGGATATTTACCATCCCCAAACACACAAGCGTGATAACCTCTTTATCATATAATGTCATTCTTTAATTCTGTGCTTTAAAATCGCTTTCCCTCTCTCACAAACATTACCGAAACATTGCGAGTTTTCCTGGAATGCGCGCATTAATATTTATTACGTCACAGGGTAAGTGATGTGTCAGTAGGACGGTGACAGTAGCCAATATAGTTCCAACTGAAATCTGTTTCATATACAGTGGCGAAGCAACTTATACGCAAAACAACAGTTGTTTTTAATTGCCTTTCGTGGCAATCCATCGGTCTGTCCGCTAGAGTAACTGCCCTTTGTCAAAGGGAAGCTACTCTAACCCTAGTCTATGAGTCACGGCCACGGTCAGACGTTGTTGACAGTCGGTCTGTCCTTTCATAACGTTAAAAAGTGTAGTCAGATGTACACACAGCGACAAATCGAAACAAGGTAACAGTTCAAACATATTTCGGCCGAATCCAACCATTTTGATTTGTGGAGAAGGTTTCAAGCCACAGAGGTCTACAAGCACAGATATGACTACTGATCCCGCTTGGCTAGGCCTCGTGCCCTCGCAAAATTGTTTCGAAATTTATATCTCGAAAGTTGCCAAAACTTATAAAATGCCTTAGCTACGTCACGGTTAGACACTGATTTTCAGTATATTAGACTGTTCGTTTGATAATGATAGCAATTATCCCTGTAGTTTATCCAGATTCACGATGGTTAATTCTGACTCGGTCGCCGAATGACAAGGGCGACGCCATGTTTGTTTATAAACAGTGAAAGTAGTCCTACTTGACCTTTGGTATTTGCATCTCTATCCGCATATGACCCCAACGGATATCGTTTTTATCCGTTGGCTTTATCCTGCCGAGAAACCTACCCATTATATGATAAATGTACATATGTGTCCACATGTGAAGACAGCAACAGAAATTGATGAAAGCAGTTTTGTGTATTTGTCATACACAATGTAACAAATGCCTCCAAAAACTGTTTATCAATGTTTGTAGATGTATAACTCTTGACTCTGCTGAAGAAGTTGCATGTTCCTCATCAGCAAGATCTACTTCAACAAGTGGGCTTCTATGGATTTGAGGAAGTTGAGAGAGTGAATTTATGCTTTACGTCACATCGGCAATATTTCAGCCATATGGTGACGAGAAGTTATACATTATTTACACATATATTTAAACTAAATAAAACATGTCATCGTTGAACAGTAAAATTACTAGAATATCAAAGATTAATATTTAAAACTAGCATACAACCATAATAAGATCACTAAATGAAACAGTACAATGTGAAAAAGGCCTACAGTTGGTTGGTTGGTTTGTTGTTTTACGCCGCACTCAGCAATATTCCAGCTATGTGACAGCGGTCCGTAAATAATCAAGTCTGGACCAGACAATCCAGTGATTTTATTCAAAGGTGAGGATCTTCCATTTTGTATCCCTTGCGATGACGGTCAAGCATGTCCTGCTTGACTGCTTTGATGTTTCCATCACATGGGATAACTATTTCAAAGTTTCAGGCATCAAGGATCTTTTTAATCAGGTAAGTTCTCGTTTAATTCTTCTTCTTTTTCTTTTTTTAAAGGAAATTCAATTGATCCATATATTTTGATTGTTATGTTTTGTAATAAAATAAATTTATTTTTATAATTGGTTGAATAAATCAGTAACTTAGATTGTAAGGGGCTATATCCTTGAAGGGGGCTAAAGTAGTGTAAAATTATTGTCCCCCTGAGAGGGTATGTAAGACCACGTCTTTCAAAGTATGTTTATTTCTGCCACGTTTTTATTCGTAGTATATATGTTCATTTAACTTGTCAATTTAACATTTAAATTTGTCAATAATCGCCAACAGCTGAAGGGTCCATGCAGGTAGCAAAAGTTATGTATGTCCCCATGGACCTAGCATGGTGATTTACCTTGAGATGCTGGCGATCTATAGCCCCTTTTCGACCTGTGAAGATCCAGGGTAGAATAGGCCTTCAGCAACCCATGCTTGCCGTAAAAGGCGACTATGCTTGTCGTAAAAGGCGACTAAGGGGATCGGGTGGTCAGGCTCGCTGACTTGGTTGATGCATGTCATCGTATCCCAATTGCGTGGATCAATGCTCATGATGTCAATCACTGGATTGTCTGGTCCAGACTCGATTATTTACAGACCGCCGTCATATAGCTGGAATATTGCTGAGTGCGGCGTTAAACAACAAACAAACAAACAACCAACCTTCTTGCCTAAATGGCCTTTCCCCTAATTTCACATGGATGTTATCTATGAGGATGTCCAACTTATGTTAATCTCTTTTATGTATTAACATGTAACTGTTAATCCTTGATCAAACATATAATTATGTACCATGCTCAGATTACTATCCCCCGCCACGAGTGAGTGAGTGAGTGAATGAGTTGGGTTTAACGCCGCTTTTAACAGTATTCCAGTTATATCGCGGCGTGACAGCTTAATGTGGGAGGAAAGCCCGAAGTGATGCTGAAACCCACGAGCACGGGTATGGTGCTGACAAACCTAGAAACATAACATAATCGGGACGAAGCGGGATTCGAACTCACAATCATAGGTTTCTGGCGTGCCCAAGGGACGCAACCCTGCACAGCGAATTGCCTTGCTTTAGACGACTTCGGGCTTTCCTCCCACATTAAGCTGGAATAACTGGAATAATGTTAAAAGCGGCGTTAAACCCAAGTCACTCACTCACTCCTCTGGTCGAGTGCTAAGACGGATATATTACAAACGCTTCGTTCAGTTCATCTCCCATCTTATTGCATGATGAGGGCATCCATATTTGTTTATGTGTTTCTCATCTCCAACATCAACCAGCAAGGGAGCGGGCGGTCGAAATAAATGGAAAAAAATAAGTAAATAAAAACAACAACTGTTTTTCACGAACTGAAAGTCAGAACACTTGGTAATCGTCTTGAACTGAATTTATGTCGTAGATCGAGTCACTTTGCTACAATCCCGGACTTGTATTTATAGGTCCGTGCTACAATACGAAGTTTTAATAAGTATTGAAAGATCATCTGACCAGAGTTTTATATGAGTGTGCAATGGTGGGAGTATTTTTTAATCACATTTGGGCATAAATGTCCACAGAGGCGGGGAGGTTCAAATAAGAAAACCTTTTGATTTTTCACGACGTAATGAAAATTCTGGGCGGTCGGGGGATAGGAATCACATAAAAAATATGGACAGCCCAACATTGCCTTTTCTCTTGTATTGCAAGTTACCGTCTCCCCCATTTTTTAATATCAGCGATTCTGTATGCCTCTGCTCTGGGCTACAGACCCCCCCCCCCCCTAGAAAATACTGTTTCTGCATCTCCGATTAGTTGCCACCCTCCCTATCTTCAGAGCTCGCATTTCGGTAAACCAACACTAAGGCTGTGTCCTTTTTTTCTGTGTTTCTCATCTCTCCTGTATTTTCTTTCTGAAGTGAAATAATAAAAAGAAATATATCTCACCTCACTTTTCCCCGCCGCTGGAAATATATGTCCCTATGTGATAAATATAATAATCCTACCATGATAAAACAAACAATCAGGTAAGCTTGATGTTTATGAAGCAAACGACTCGATCTACATCATATATTAACTTAAAGGCTATAAGTACTACTATTACAAAATTTGATAAAGTATGTTACGCAATTAGTGAAACATTTTTTTTCGGATTTTAAAAAAAAGTGGTTGATGCATGTCATCGTATCCTAATTGCGTGGATCGATGCTCATGATGCCAATCACTGGATACGATGACATACATAAACCAAGTCTGACCACCCGATCCCGTCAGTCGCCGTGAAGACCCGGGGTAGAATAGGTCTTCAGCAACCCATGTTGCAGTAAAAGGCGACTATGCTTGTTGTAAGAGGCGACTAACGGGATCGGGTGGTCAGGCTCGCTGACTTGGTTGATGCATGTCATGGATCCCAATTGTGTGGATCGATGCTCATGATATTAATCAGGGGGGGTTGTCTGGTCCAGACTCGATTATTTAGAGACCGCCGTCATTTAGCTGTAATATTGCTGAGTGGCGCGTTTAACAACAAACCAACCAACCAACATGCAAATGTCTTCATTATTGAAGCAATACGAGTGCCCTTTGAAAGATCCCGTTATGGTAAAGAAGCAGACCCAAGGAATCCGAGATTGCTCACTAGTACGAAGAATATAGAAGCTTCGACGCTAATTGCCTGATTACAAAGTTCACCTTTGCGGCCTCATATTGATGTGGCACTAGATCTTTAAGCAGGTAGGTAATGTATTGGAGTAAAAGATCTGATCTTATCGTGATAATCTGCCTTTGGGATACGAACAGTTAACAAAGTCTGCCTAGCTGATCATTTTTATTTTTAAAGAAGGCTTCAGATGAGAAAGTATTTTCCAAAAGATATCTGGCGACGGCATATACAATTCGTAACGCGAAAATAGATGACACCAGAGTAAATCATGTGAATATGATGAACGTTCAACCTTGTACATGCACTGGGGTGTGTGTCAACATTCTCAGAGAAGCGGGTTGATGATATACACTCTGACGTCACATAGAGTCATAGCACTATACACCGTCAGTCTGAACGTCAAATAACGGAAACTGCCAGTCCCTACACAGTTGTACCGAAGTACGCTGCCCGCAGTGATTGAACCGGAAGTCTTCGGGCACGTTGTACTTGACATTCCATTGGCTGATTCAAGGACATGGGTCAAAGTTGACATTCGGGATGCTGAAAAATAGTGATATGTTTCTTTGGTACACGGACTTAATTGTTCTTGTGTGTATCATGGTAGATTTATATATTTATCAATATCGACTAGCCGTGTCTAGCTGTGCAGAGTTGCGTCCCTTAGGTATGCCAGGATCTTATGACAATGGGTTACATTTTCACCCCTAAAAATGCTAAAAGGCATGTATCTGAAAGTTAGCTTATATTCTAAAATGTACCAAATACAAACACCAGTGTCAAGGCGATGAAATAGCTGGGATATTGCTCCCATAAACAACGGTGTGAAAAACGTAGAAATTTAAGAGGAATTACAACAACAATCTGATCTCAGCGATGCTCTCATATGGTCAATCACGAAGTCTCTGCCAAAATCCACTTTCCACCATGGCTGATTCACATGGTTTCCATCAGCGCAGTGGCCAGAGAGAGCCCTGTCGGCTGTTGACGATCCGTAGGTACTGAACTGTGTCGCTGTCTTGTTGGCCGCAATATTTACAAAGTCTGAAAAACACAATCGTAAGTTGAATAAGCTGAGAAGAGCAACATCTGCCCTAATATCACGTAAACAGCGAGTCATAAAATATTTTCTCTTTTTCTTTAATGTAAGAATTCGCGTGGGTCCCGGGTAAGAATGGAGGTCCCCCGTAACCTACGCTTGGGGTAAGAGGAGACAAAATGGGCAGGTGGTTAGTTTGGGTGACTTCGTTCATTACACTGATTTTCAGTTGCGTGGATCGAAGCTCATGATCTTAAATCACTGGATTGTCTGGTCCAGGCTCTATTGTTTACAGACCGCCGTCATGTAGCTGGAGTCTACTGCCGAGTCTACTACTACTACTACTACTACTACTACTACTACTACTACTACTACTACTGTTGTTGTTGTTCCAGTGATTGACATCGATCCACGCATTTGGGATACCTTAACATGTAGCTGACCACCATCCGATCCCGTCAGTCGCCTCTTAAAGACAAAAGTGGGTCTTACTCGGATCTTCACTTTTGCTACAACTGCTAATGTACGAACATCACTGTGTGTGATACGCAGGAATGCATCTCATACAACTGTATGCTAGTATTGCATGATGAATTTAACCGCGGTTTGGCATACAGGTGAAGAATACCTAAAGAACCGGTTACGCGCATTGTTCCCTGCTGCAGAATAGACTCATCCTAGGGTACTGTCTGTATACAGAAACATACCCGGGGTACATTCCAGTAGTACCTGTGCCGACAACGACCCCCTTCAGCACCATCAGGCTGCCACACCTCCCCATTCAACTGATAAACTTAATAAAACATGTCATGAACATCATGCACATGATTTGTTTGTTTGTTTGTTTGTTTATTGTTTAACGCCGCACTCAGCAATATTCCAGCTATATGACGGCGGTCTGTAAACAATAGAGCCTGGACCAGACAATCCACTGTTTGACATCATCAGCATCGACCGACGCAATTGGGATCGATGACATGCATCAACCAAGTCAGCGAGCCTGACCACCCGATAACGTTAGAGGCGCTTCTTATCCTTGCTGAATTTACCAATATACCGGTTATACTGTGTACCCTTATATAAAACCCTTGTTGTCTGACATACTGCTTCTTGTTACCATTCCGATCTTCATAAATCAAACATTTGTCACCTTCCATGACACACTGTTTGAATTCTGTGTACACACGAGTGCACTTCAGTATATATTATCATAACACAATTGTATTCTTCTAAAACAGTATCTTAGTGCAACAGCTATGGTTCAGTTGCTCACGTGTGCGTTTCCCACTTCAGTCCATCCCAAAACAGTTAGGTCGCAGAGACTTAAAGAGCATGGAAGTGCAAATTTCAAATCAAGGCCAACCTTTCGAAAACCACGAACAAATATATATTTTGACCCCATTATTAACATGTATAGGTGAATCAAACTTAATCACATTTTGAACACCAAATGGCTGAATAAAGGCGCCCAAAGGATTTTCAAAATGGTTCTCCTGGTGGCCATGTTGAAAATTCGATTTGAACCTCATTAATGTGTTATCATGTGTATCGTTGCAGCTTCATAGGTCCAGAGGTTTCTGGAGAGAGGATGTGAACAGTGTCAGGATATAGGAGCATAGACAATGAGATCAAATCACAAACAAAACTAAAACTATCGCAAAAAACAACATGGGCGGTTTGAGTGTCATTACAAACTACCCGTTGTACACACTATAAACTACAATTTCATTAGATTTTGAACACAAATGGCACGGGCGGGTGAACTGGAAAATTGATACCCACATTCCACACAAAGACCGTTCATTCCTATCCAAATCCCCGTCTCCGTACATGACGAGGTTAACGTCGTGCCCGTGAAGACGTAGTCTGTGCGACATTCATAAGTGACGTTTGCTGTGAATGTCGTCGTGGTGTAGGTGCTGTTGGCGTTCACAACATCAGGAGGTGTCCCACAATCTACAACTGTCAACAGACCCGAGAAGATCGGGGTTAGAATATGTCTTCAGCAACCCGTGCTTGTCGGAAGGGGCAACTAACGCTGACTAAAGGTCTGACTTTACAAAGCGTCATAAATATTAACTCTAGTAACACTGCGGTCAAGTCTTTAGGTAATACTTTTGTCGCGAAGAAATATCCCAGGTCTTATAATAGTATGTACAGTACTAACGAATATAAAACAGAATTCATAAATGGCATGCCCATAAACACAAGTAAGGGCGACTATTCGGCATTCTAGGGTCAGGTGGCTGTGGCTGTGGCTGTGGGTGTTAGTGAGTGAGTGAGTAGGGTTCAACGCCGCTTTTAACAGTATTCCAGTTATATCGTGGCGTGTGGGAGGAAAGCCCGGAGTGATGCAGGTCTAAGACGTTTACCACTTCGGTGAAACCCACGAGCACGGGTATGGTGCTGACAAACCTAGAAACATAATCGGGGCGAACCGGGATTCGAACCCACAATCATAGGTTTCTGGCGTGCCCAAGGGACGCAACTCTGCACAGCGAATCGCGGCGCCCTAGACGACTGGGCCACCCGTGCCCCCGATGTGGGTGTGAAGGGGGTTGGTGTGGGGGCAGGGGAGCTGGGAGTTTGTATGGAGACTGGATAACCAGATATTATTAAATTAAAAATAAGCCTAAATATATTTTTTTAAATAGCTTTTTATGCAGCAGACAATTTCTTTTTTTCAACATTCTGAAGCATAATCATATTCTTCTATCATCTTCTGGGACATTAGATATTTTTCGATACAGTCCAATGAAGTATATTAAACCTCGTTGACTCGAACTCTGTTAACTCGAACTCAACTAAGTCGACACATCGTTTGAGACAATTCGCCAGAATCTTGATCGATTATGTAGCATACTATCCACACTATGTCTCAAACGACGGATAACTCGAAACTGTAGTTTACTTTGACACATCCCACGGCCCTGCCACAGCCCATTGTGATCACACGTGGCACCCTCGACGATGCCGCTGTAGTTGTAGCCCACGTTGCACGTGTACACGGCTACAGATGCGTACGTAGTCCCATCGTAGACCACGTTGCCGTGAGCGACTTCGCCGGGGACGCCGCAGTCAACAACTTGAGAAGAAAAGTCAGTTTCAGAAAAATAGCATCCTGACATTCAGGCAAGTTGATTTTACAAAACGTCAAGGTTTAGTAGAAATCTTTGATTCTTAAATAAACTGCCGGGATAGAGAAAGTATTCACTTAAAATTAAATTTGACCAAACACTTACTAACGTTTTAAAAACTTTACTTTGCTGAAAACAAACGTTAGGCCCAAAACTTGACGTCGTTGCTTTATCGCTATTTGACCCGTGAAGATCCGGGGGTAGAATAGGTCCTCAGTTAACACACAGGCCTTAAATGAGGCAAAATTTGAAATGTACATTGATATAGAAATAATCCTAATGCATCTATAGAAATAGTTAATGAATATGTAAAATGTAAGGATTTTATAAAAGTTATCAAAATTTTGTCTTTTTTACACCCACAACGGAATCTGTTTGGGCAGGTAATAGAGACTGATTATTCTTTGTTGTTGTTGTTGACGTTTTATATTTATATGAATTCATGCTTTGTCTGTGATGCTGCGTTGACAAATATGTACATTTATTCGGGCCTATCAAATGTGTAAAAAAGTATATGATTTCAACATTGTATGTGAATACCAGCAATATCAAAGCTGTACACATTCATCAGCATACCTGTGAAGATCCGGGTAGAATAGGTCTTCAGCAACCCATGCTTGCCGTAAAAGGCGACTATGCTTGTCGTAAGAGGCGACTTAGGGGATCGGGTGGTCAGGCTCGCTGACTTGGTTGATGCATGTCATCGATCCCAATTGCGTGGATCGATGCTCATGATATTAATCACTGGATTGTCTAAACGCTATTTGTGTCTTGTTGGTTGTTTAACGCCGCACTCAGCAATATTACAGCTATATGACGGCGGTCTGTAATTAATCGAAATCATGAGCATCGATCCACGCAATTGGGATCCATGACATGCATTAACCAAGTCAGCAAGCCTGACCACCCGATCCCGTTAGTCGCCTTTTACGACAAACATAGTCGCCTTTGACGGCAAGCATGGGTTGCTGAAGACCTATTCTACCCCGGAATCTTCACGGGTCTATTTGTGTCTTAATGTACGAAATGAAACAAACAAAAGATGTTAATTCGATGGTGATGCATTTGGTACGGGAGTCACGGTTGTGTTTTGGACCTTACGTATGCAGAGTTGCGGCGACTGTTTTCAGCCTTGTTGCGTTTCGATGACGTTTGCGATGTTTTGTTTATCTCCAGTTGGCAAGTGTATACTCTCTTTTGCAGGGCAGTTAAGTCCAATGATAAGTTCTTTCATTTCAGGTTGTTTGAAAAGTGATTGTTTGTTTGTTTTCAAGTTTCGGGCGTTTCTGTTTATAAAACAAACCCGGTTGCATACATATTCCAAATAATGTTCAACTATTAGTACTTTTTTGACAGACAATTTTCGTTCCCCGAGTACTTACTTTGACAAAGTCCCATAAGGCCACCCCAGAAGCCATCAGCGTTACAAGAGGCTCTGTCGCTACTGCCGGAGAAGTTGTAGCCGATGTTGCAGGTGTAGTCGGCAACTGATCCGTACGTCGTTGAGGTTGATGCAGTAGTGCTATTGTTAAGAATAGTAGGCGGTCCGCAGTCGATGACTAGGTGCAGAAAATAAAACAAATGGTCACAGTTACTACAAATCTCATTAAATCAGATCTTCTGCTCGGATACGTTGGTTGGTTGGTTAGTATGGGTTGCTGAAGACCTATTCTACCCCGGAATCTTCACGGGTCCACGATATCTCTGACAAAAACCTCCAAAAGAAGGATGCCTGGGTTCTTGATCTGGTCCCGGAAGATCCGGGGTAGAATAGGTCTTCAGCAACCCATGCTTGTCGTAAAAGGCGACTATGCTTGTCGTGAAAGGCGACTAACGGGATAGGGTGGTCAGGCTCGTTGACACGGTTGATGCATGTCATCGCATTCCAATTGCTCACAGACCCATGAAGATCCGGGATAGAATAAGTTTTCAGCGACCCATGCTTACTGTAAAAGGCGACTATGCTTGTCGTAAGAGGCAACGGGATCGGGTGGTCGGGCTCGCGGACTTCGTTGATGTCATCGATCCCAATTGAGTGCGGCGTAAAACAACAAACCAACCAACCCATGGTTCCAGCAAAATTTGAAGTAATTGGTACCTCCGTTTTTAAAAGAGAATTGCTGACCATTTGGATGCCTACTTGTCGCCTTAATGTCTTAACCAAAAAATTTTACATTGATGTTATCAATGAGAAGTCAAGCATTTTCACAACGATAAAGGTCTTTTTCTATCGTCGTTGCAGATGTTGAATCCAATTTGGCCTTTTCGTATTTCGACCTGAAGTTCGAGAGGAGAATATTTGCGGTATCTGTTACTCAACAGTCTACATATGCATAACCAATTTGCACAAAATCTGGCCACTAGTTATTGAGTTATCTCTGGTACCGACATCGGAGAAACTATCCATGGGACATTTGTCACTAAACGTGGCGACCATAGATATAGTTACATCTCTATCTTCAAGGTCATCTCAAGTTTACTGAGAAATAAAATTGTGAAATATTTGACATCCTCATAGATATCATCTATGTGAAATTAGGGGATAGGTCATTAAGGCAAGAAGGAGGTATTCACATGGTGGGAAGCGTTTGGTCACTTTAGTTTAAGTGTATAGCTTCCCAAATAAAATTAATTATCAATTTTCATTTACAATCCAGTGATTGCTATCATGAGCATCGATCCACGAAATTGGGATACGATGACATGCACCAACCAAGTCACAGAGCCTGACCACCCGATCCAATAGGTCGCCTCTTACGTCAAGCGTTGTGGCTTTTTACGGCAAGCATGGGTTGCTGAAGACCTATTCTACCCCGGATTTTCACGGCGGTAGTGAATAAGTGAGTGAGTTTGATACTGTGTCATTCAACAATATTTCTGTTATATCACGTGTCAGCTTGGTATGGGAGGAAAGCCCGAAGTGATGCAGGTCTTAGCTTAGACGTTTACCACTTGGTATATTCAAGGCCAATCTGAGATTTGAACCTGGTTGTTAGGTTGCTTGCACTTGGAAGCGACTCACCCCTGCACAGCAAATGGCACCGTCTTAGACAACCGGGCCACCCTGCTCCGAGATGTTCGATCATTTCAGGTGTCCCCACTGTGATATTGCGGGAATATTGCTAAAAGCGGCGTAAAACCAGACTCACTCACTCACTAGATGCTCGCAATGCAGAACTACTGCAAATAGTGACATTTCGGTATATGGCCCATATACCTTGTCTCAAGTTTCACATTTTATGTATGATATCGACAGTGCACACCTGATCTAGAATAACATTACCACTTGCGTTTTATTAGGTTCATCATAAATGTGCAATCTTGTAGAACATAGGACCACTGAGTTAAGAACTCTCTCACACAAAGCCTCCTTCCCCAAGGCATGTATCGTTTGAAAATACGGGTATTTCTTCATAACGCTGTTTATACTTGATTACTACCCACTCACGGTTGCATTGTCCATCCAGCCCCTCCCATCTCCCCGAGGTAGAACACGTCGCTACGTTGCTGTCTCCTGTGAAGTTGTACCCGGTGCTGCAGTTGTAAATTACCTCTGCTCCGTAGGTGCTGTTGTTGAAGAAGTGGTTAGCGTTGTCGAGTGCATCTGGCGCAGTGCAGGTGATTTCTAGAACAGAGAAGGTGACTGGTAAGAAATTCATGGTCACCAGCTGGGCTCTGACTTTTAATTCCGTGTCACGGAACATTGCCTTCAAACTTGATTCCTTTGAGGCCCGAAAAGATCACTTCGGCTAAGGTAACCTTTTTGTTCGAACTCTTGGTTAGACATATTGATTCTGGGTACTATTATTCTATGAAATAACGGCTTCCCTAGTGTGTCATTCCGAATCTTAGTCATGTATATTTATCAAACATCAAACAAACAAACAGTGTATTATCTGGTTTCTCTTAGGAACATGAGCTCCCGCAAGAGAATTGATTCATTGTCATCGGGTATGTTCCCATTTCAAAAAGAATATTGACTATCCAAACCACTGAACCTTCACCAGAGTTATTTGGTATCATGTGAATCTACCATAGACTGTCGATAACACATAATGATTGACGCATTGTACCCCTTGACGCTTCTGTACCCACGGTGTTCCATGGCCCTGATAGTTCGGGGAGATTCCCGAGTCGATACTCACATTGCTCTACAGACAATATTGGTTTTAGAAAGGTAAATGTCTCACTGTAGACGTTACACCATGGAAATACTAGCGTGGTATTATATTGATATTGAATTTATCATCAACATTCGGTCACCTGGCCATGTACAAATTGATATTTCTGTCAATCTTCACCAAGGAGATGACAACTGATAACGATGGCGTTTACAGAGGACACTGGCACTCTCATGAAAAATTCATGTTTCATGAACATTACAATAATCGCTCATTGTTTGCGTTGATTCATTATTACCCGACCCGTAAAGATCCAGGTTAGGATTGGTCTTCAGCAACCCATGCTTGTAGGAGGTGGTTATGTTTGTCTGGCTCGCTGACTTGGTTGATGCATGTCTTCGTATCCCAAATGCTCGATGCTCATGATGTCAATCACTGGATTGGCTGGTCCAGACTAGATTATTTACAGACCACCGTCTAAATAGTTGGAATATTACTGAGTGCGGCTACTGAGTGCGGCTACTGAGTGCGGCGTTACACAACAACAAAAAACGAATGAACGAACAGTTGGTCCTCGTAAAATTTAAAGTGGTGTTAAACCAACTCACTTTTGATAAAAGCTTGGTATTATGAGAGAGTCCCTTTGGTAGACAGCGGGGATTAAGCGTGGCAGGGAAAGCCTTGAAGACGACCCCGTCCTGAGAGGCTTGTGACATCATCAACAGAAATGATCCAGAGAATCCACAATGTGGTGATGATGAGACCGGCGAATGAATAAGCGTCAAATTGCTAATTCAGAAGGTACTTAGAGAGTGTACATTCCATTATCACAGAAACCATGGCAACGAAGGAGGTATCAGCTCGCTATGTTCCATAGCTTCTGACATCTGATCAAAGACGCACCAGGCACAACTTTTCTTTTGATAATCTAGCTCTGTTTGAAGCTTGTCCAGAAGGTTCTTACAAAGATGTGTGACGATGGAGGAAACCTGGGTTCACCTTAGTCCAAACAACAATCAAAACAGTGGAAGCATTTGATGTTACCACCACCAGCTTGGAAGGTTATGGTTTCCCTGTTCAGGGATGCCGAGTGTGTCATCATGATGGACTATCTTCAAAATGGCCAGACAATAAAAGGAGGATCACTGTTGAGCCAATAACGGGATAAAATAGGATTAAGATACGTGGGAAGATGAGAAAAGATGTGCTCTTCCACCAGGTCAATGCGCCAGCGCAAAAATCAGTCATTGCCATGCTTACATTCCACGAGAGTTGTTTGAACTCAGCTGTTCCCGAAAAAAAAGCGAAAGCTCTAGGCGGAACACATTTCGACACGAACGAAGACGTCATAGCTGCTTTGGGGAACTTTTTGGACAGCCTACAGGAGGACTTCTACGAAATTGGGACATTGGGATAAAAGCACTCCAACATTGTTGGCAAAATTTGAATCAATGTGGAAGGGGATTATGTCAAGTCCTTCTATGGAAGGCTCAGAACATATCCGCAACCCCTCGCGTTCATGTTACATCATGGCGATGTGGGAGACAAGGTTGCAGTGATGCACGTCTTGACGTTTACCTCTTTGGTAAAATCCACGTACACGGGTATGGTGCTGACTAAACTAGAAATGTAATCAGAAAATAAATCTGGAATTCAATTTCACGATCATAGGTTTCTGGCACGACTAAGGGACGCAACTCTGCACAGGGAGGCGGAATGACGACTGGACCATAAGTGCCCCTGTTAATAGGATATAAGGAAAATCACCAACCTGATATAAAATTGCAGGAGATATTAACTGCAACGTGGCGCGTTAAGCCATTCCCTAATTAATACTTTTCAATCATGTTGAAAGTTTTGTTGTTGTTTTTTAAAAAAAATGAAATACTCAAAAAAACTTCTTCCTTACGTTCACATTGACCATTGAAGCCTTCCCAGAGTCCACTACTTCCACACGTTGCAACGTTGTCGCTGCCGCTGAAGTTGTATCCGATGTCGCAGGAGAAGGTGACGTTTTCACCATACGTAGTGAGGGTGTAGGACGGTCTGCCATTCAGGAGGGGAACAGGGTCCTCACAATCAATTACTGAAAATATATATATTGGGTTTTATGCGAGACATGTGGTCGACTATGACTTTTGTCAACCATCCATATACTGGTTTTAACATTGTGGATTCTTTTCCGAACCATTTGATTCTTTCATTTTTGCCGGATCGGTTGTTAACATGTTAATATTGATAAGAGTGCATAAGGCTGTATGCCTTGATGGGTGATTTCAGCTTTCCATAGTGAACTTTCCCTTTCTGTCGAGCAATATTCCAGGATCTCAACAGATGCGACCGGTAGGGAAGGATCCGCTAACCTTTTGGCGAACACCTGGTATCATCACTATTTGGTAGTCATTCATGAACACATGCCGACGCCAGGCAGGGTAACAACAAGTACCATATTTTAACGTCTTTTGGTATGACGCGGCTCAAGATCGAACCATCGTTCCCCTGCTCTCAAGGCAGACGACAGAGGCGGTCCAAAAAGGTTATATCTATTAGAAATAGAGAATAAAATTTACTTTCACATTTTCCGCTGAAGCCCTTCCACTGCCCAAGCGTGCCGCACATTGCGATGTTGTTGTCACCGCTGAAGTTGTAACCTACATCACAGTTGTAGATGAGGACTGACTTGTATTTTGTGTCCGTAAAAGTAAAGTTTCCGTTTTCGAGGGGGTCCGGAGCGGAACAGTCGGCTTCTAGAACTAAGATACTTTGAATAAAATTTGTATTCGCTACATAATAGACATGTAATTGTGTTTTTACCTCGATGTTTGTACCTGTATGACAGGGGATCTTTGCACCGACACGTTAACACTGTGCGAGAAGGACTGAGGACACATGAATAGAGGTTTATGTTAGGTACCTTTCAATTAAAAATTCTCGGTACAAATGAGCGAAGCATTCAAACCTGTATGTCTGTTTTCAGAAAATGAAGTTAATCAGCTAGCAACAAATGCAAACGATAAAGGCGGCGTCATAATATCGTTGTGGATATTATGATCTCCCTGTCGCTTCTGGTCTCCTGGCTTAAAAGCCCTAAAGAGAGTACAGTCGTATTAGGATTAGGGACGGCTTTGGCCTACGTAATCTGAATTATTTGAGACTTGGAAACAACCTTCAGAAATCGTTGTGAAATTCATCATTCACATGAGTGAAAGTTTTCTTTGTTCATGCCAGCACCTGCTCGTTAGCATTATAACAAAACTAAATGTATAGGTATAGTATAGTATGGCTAACTAAGTCAAATGTGCTGATTTTCGAGATTTTTAGTAAGCTTATTCAGTATTTTAATATGCGTAAATATTTGACCCTACTGGCTTTCTTGAGAGATATGGATATAAACAGTACAAACATTAGGTAGAAATATCACAAGTCGGACTTGCTCATCGATAATCCCTTGAAGTTTCTCAAATCTGCCATTTTTCACTCAATTCAGTCTTATTCGGGTCCTTGGTCATGCACACGAGCCCCAAAAACGTTCAAGGACAAGAAAGAAAAATAGACCAGTTATCAACCATTTGAAGTTCAATTATTTCCGAAACTTTCAAATGTGACATTTCCAGTGAGGATGTTACCTATAATCTTTGGATAAACACATCTTCGAGTATTCTCATAGATTGTAAACAAGTCATATTTTTTCGCCTCTACAGATCCCTTTGTAAATAGAGGTTATCACGCGTGTGTGTTTGGGGATGGTAAATATCCTGCATTAGGAATAAACTTTGTATTTAGCGAGCCTTGGCGAGCCTTTCGCGGGAATCCATCGGTCTGTCCGCTGGAGTAACTGCCCTTTGTCAAAGGGAAGCTACTCTAACCCTAGTCTGTGAGACGTCACGGCCACGGTCACACTCCGTCGCAGTGGTGACTCAGCATAACACCACTGCCACAGGCTAATTTGCATATCACGTGACCGGACTTTTCTCATGTTTGTAAACAAACGCGCTTTTTCAGAAATCAGACTGATTTGAGCCGTACAACCAATGTAAACATAGGATAACTATGCAAAAACAAGTAGATTTTTACGTATTTGCATACTTTCTCAATGAAAGTTAACCATTCTTTGACATTTGTTTATGAAAATGTGTAGACTTGTCAAACATGAAACGGATGAAAAGCATATGCAATATCTTGAATGGACTGTGAAAGATGTGACGAATCGTCACATGGCGCTGGCCTGTGGCAGAGGTACTATGCTAGCTGGCTGCCGGCCGCATGGAACTCTGGGTAGGAGAGTGGGCCACGGTCAGACATTGTTGACAGTCGGTCTGTCCTGTCATTACGTTAAGAAGTGTAGTCAGGTGTACACACAGCGACAAAACGAATCAAGGTAACAATTCAAACACATTTCGGCCAAATCCAACTATTCTAATTTGTGGAGAAGGTTTCAAGCTGCAGATGTCTACAAGCACAGATATGGCTACTAATCCCGCTTGGCTAGGCCTCGTGCCCTCGCAAAATTATTTCGAAATTGATATCTCCAAAGTTGCCAGAACTTATAAACTTCCTTAGCTACGTCACAGTTAGACACTGATTTTCAGTTTATCAGACTATTCTTTTGATAATGATAGCAATTATCCCTGTAATTTATCCAGATTCCCGATGGTTAATTCTGACTCGATCGCCGAATGACGAGGGCGACGCCATGTTTGTATATAAACAGTGAAAGTAGTCCCTACTTGACCTTTGATATTTGCATCTCTATCCGCATATGACCCCAACAGATATCGTTTTTATCCGTTGGCTTTATCACTCCGAGAAAACTACCCATTATATGATAAAGGCAATTACCTAGCTAGGCTACTGCAAAAGGACGTTATGTGGGCGGACGGCTAGTGTTTACATGGATGGGTTTGGGGCTCCCTGTCATCCGGGTTCATGACAGAAATTTGTCCACATTCAGGCCGCAGCCAAAGGAATATTAAGATAGAAATTACATTTTCATGTTATCGATAGGGCATGTAAAAACTACATACATGGCATATACTTTTGTATTCAATGAACATAGCTGTACAGGAGACCAGTCAGTCGTCCTCGTCTTTTTCATATTTTTATCTGTAAATAAAGATTCAGAGCTACAAAAGTCCCAACAAGACTGTAGGACTTCAACTCTCCAATAGTTAAACCTTCCCTTTAAATACATCAATATTCAAGCAGCTCCAGCCTTTGGTGTCTATTTTCCCAACTCTTCCTGTACAATCGATATTCCATGAAGACTTCAAAGAGCCTCAAACGACTATTACACAAAGTTGTTTTTTTTATCACGATTAGAACATTGAAGGCCTCCGTAAAGTTTTCAAAAGGTGTTATAGTAGACATGGAGGACCAATGTGGTACTAAATTGCGGATATTCTAAAATAGGATGAAGAGAATTATTGCAAAACATACACTTTCTATCATCATGTGATTACTATTGTTAAAAATCGTGATGAAAATGTTAATCCGTATCTAAATATTTAAACCATCATGATGACGTCATGATTGTTGTAGTTGATTCTGAGCCAGGAAATCACTGACCATGATGACGTGCATTTTAAACATGCACAACTGACGCAACTTCTGATAAAATATAGAGAAATTATGAACGAATCTGTTGGTTCCGAAAGTTGGTTCTACTTCCTGAATCATCAGTCTCTTATGATTTCTCCATTACGGAAAATCAGGAGGTGCTCTTTTCATGTAAGAAACATTGACATTATTCGGAACCTCTCACTGCAAACATCTAAGGGGACACTCAAGGGGTCCTCGTCTTCCAAGTTTTGTTACCGTATTTGGCTGCCAATTGGAGCATCTTCAGGACAAATAGTTCGCCAGCATGAGATCCATATTGCTGCATGGATTGTAAAACAGATCAAACGAAGATTGTCATGTTACCTATCATTCAATATGTTCTCTAGGTATCCATCAGACAGAGTGAGTGAGTGAGTGAGTGAGTTGGGTCTAACGCCGCTTTTAAACAGTATTCCAGTTATATCGCGGCTTGTCAGCTTAATGTGGGAGGAAAGCCCGAAGTGATGCAGGTTTCAGACGTTTACCACTTCGGTGAAACCCACGAGCACGGGTATAGTGTTGACAAACTTAGACACATAATGGGGGCGAACCGGGATTCGAACCCACAATCATAGGTTTCTGGCGTACACAAGGGACGCAACTCTGGACAGTGTCACTGATTTGCAGTGAACAACTAACATACTTTTCTCCACTATTTTGCCTTTTACGCCCAATTAAATCTATTTCGGCAGATAACCGAGACTGATTATTCTCTGGCGTTGACATTATATAATTCCTTGACCTTAATTCTTACAATTCTGCTGGTGGACTGAAGTCACCGAGTTTCATCATAAGTGTATCCTGAGTAAAATAAGTCTGCCTAAAACATAACTCGACATTGAGGAAAGTCGAGCTGATAGCATTCCAATAGAACGAGAACATCGACTGCCACTAAACGACCCCCACGGCCGATAATTGTTAAATTTTCTTTTTTCAAAGATAGAGAATTCATGAAAGTAGTGGCCGGACCCAAACTCAGTAATACCGGTGATGTACGAGTCTCCCCCGGCTACGCCAAGGCGGTAGGAGACACAGGCACAGAGGCGATGATTGTTATTTATTTCATACAATAAATTGATCATTAACGATATCACCTACAAATACGATTGGCCAAAGCACTTGGCCGAAGTGGGGAAACGACGGCACAAAACGCCACGGAGATCGGCGCCCAGGTCAGCCAGCCACAGTCCGGCCCGATCAAGATGAATCCGAAGACTTATACACATGTACAGGCAGACTGGGGAAGTGACCGCCCAGGTCGTCACGATCCAGATGAATCCGAAGACTTATACACATGTACAGGCAGACTGGGGAAGTGACCACCCAGGTCGTCACGATCCAGATGAATCCGAAGACTTATACACATGTACAGGCAGACAGGGGAAGTGACCGCCCAGGTCAGCTAGCCCCAGTCGGTCACGATCCAGATGAATCCGAAGACTTATACACATGTACAGGCAGACTGGGGAAACCGCCGCCCAGGTCAGCCAGCCCCAGTCCGTCACGATCCAGATGAATCCGAAGACTTATACACATGTACAGGCAGACTGGGGAAACCGCCGCCCAGGTCAGCCAGCCCCAGTCCGTCACGATCTAGATGAATCGGAAGACTTATACACATGTACAGGCAGACTGGGGAAGTGGCCGCCCAGGTCAGCCAGCCCCAGTCCGTCACGATCCAGATGAATCGGAAGACTTATACACATGTACAGGCAGACTGGGGAAGTGGCCGCCCAGGTCGTCACGATCCAGATGAATCCGAAGACTTATACACATGTACAGGCAGACTGGGGAAGTGGCCGCCCAGGTCAGCCAGCCCCAGTCCGTCCCGATCTAGATGAATCTGAAGACTTATACACATGTACAGGCAGACTGGGGAAGTGGCCGCCCAGGTCAGCCAGCCCCAGTCCGTCACGATCCAGTTGAATCCGAAGACTTATACACATGTACAGGCAGACTGGGGAAGTGACCGCCCAGGTCAGCCAGCCCCAGTCGGTCACGATCCAGATGAATCGGAAGACTTATACACATGTACAGGCAGACTGGGGAAGTGGCCGCCCAGGTCAGCCAGCCCCAGTCGGTCACGATCCAGATGAATCCGAAGACTTATACACATGTACAGGCAGACTGGGGAAGTGGCCGCCCAGGTCAGCCA